CCCCAGGAGAGGGCCCGGGAGCAGCGGTTGCTGAAGGGCCAGGCAAAACGATCTCGGGGGCACGCGTCGTTCTGGACAGCCACGTGGATGGACCGGTCTCCGAGGACATCAGACGGTCCGTGGGCCCACAGTCCCGTTTCCCCGTCTCCGCCCATGGCCCCCCGGTGGTTCCAGTGGTGCCCACTGAACCAAGAGACGAGAGCCAAGAGCAAAAGCCGCTTGGAGATGTTGACGGCGACGCTGCTGATGATGATGATGATGATGATGATGATGATGAGGATGATGAGGATGATGAGGATGATGAGGAGAATGAGGATGAGGATGATGCTGATGATGATGATGATGATGAGGATGATGACGGTGATGATGAAGATGAGGATGATGATGAGGATGAGGATGAGGATGATGATGATTAGGAGGAGGAGGAGGAGGAGGAGGAGGAGGATGTGGGAGAGAACGAGGACAGCGACACGCCATAGCGTCGCGCCACGCGGAGCGCAGCGACACGGCATAGCGTGTCGCCGGGGCCGCCGCGGCGACACGCTTAACAACAGCTCCCGACCGTGTAAAACAAAACACAACAAAAAAACAGCTCCCGACCGTGTTCCGCTTGCCCGCCTCGGAGGCACAGGGGGTCAGTCGCGCCCGCCAGGCCGCCGGGGACGCAATGCTCAAGCTCGGGCTCAGCTCGCCCTACGACCGAGGCGCTTCTCCCCGGGCTTTCCGCAGTCTTTGCGGGAGGGAGGAGGGAGAGGATGCACCAGGATAAGGAGGAGGAGGATGAGGAGGAGGAGGAGGAATCGGATTGGGGGAAAGGAGGCGGATGATGATGATGATGATGATGATGATGATGATGATGATGATGATGATGACGGTGTCGATATCTATGTCGATCTCATTGTCGATGCCAATGCCGATGCCGATGCCAGTGCCGATGCTGATGATGATGATGATGCTGATGGTGTTGATGGAGTGGATAATGGTGAGGATGCTGATGCTGGTGATGCTGCTGCTGATGATGCGGCTGATGATGATGATGATGATGATGATGATGATGATGATGATGATGATAATGATGATGATGCACATGCCGATCTTGGTAATTGTGCTGGTGCTTGTGCTTGTGCGGGTCCTGACGCTGGTGCTGATGCTGAACAATATGATGGTGATGTCGATGGTCACGATAATGAGGATGATGAGGATGATGATGATGCTGATGATCACGATGATCAGGATGATGGTCATGCTGATGATGTCGGCGATGATGATAATGATGATGATGACGATGATGATGGTGATGATGATGATGATACTCATGATGATACTGATGATTAGTAGGGTGGTGATGGCGATGCTGACTACGCTGACGATGCTTGTGATGATCATGCTGATGTTGCTGCTGAAGGTGACGAAGGCGATAGCGCTGCGTGTGATGATGATTGCTACGATGACGATAATGGTAAGTCTCATGCTTATCCTGATGATCGCGGTTATGGTGCTGATGATGATACTGCTGATGGTTGGTGATGATGGCGATGCTGCTGCTGTTGCTGGTACTGATGCTGATGATTCTGATGGTAATGATGACGTTAGCGCTGACGATGGCGACGGGGGGGATGATGTTGATGTTGCTGATGATGATGATGATGATGATGACGATGATCATATTGTTGGTGATGCGGAGTATGATGATAATGCTGATGTTGCTGATGATGATGTTCATTCTGATACTGATGATGAATATGAATATTATGATGATGATCATGGTGATGATGATGATGATGATGGTGATGATGATGCTGATGCTGATGCTGATGCTGATGATGATGATGATGATGGTGATGATGATGATGATGATGATGGTGATGATGATGATGATGGTGATGCTGCTTATGGTGATGATTATGACGACGCATGTTGTGTCATCGATGGGGATGCTGATGGTGGTAATTGTGATGGTACGTGTGATGATGGTGATGCTCATTTTGGTGACGAGGAGGAAGAGAGGGAGCAGGAGGAGGAGGCGGTGGAGGGGGGAGGAGAACTAGGGGGATGACTACTCCTGTGTTGCGTCTGTCTGCGATAGGGGCCTTTCTTGAATGGGGCTTTAACTTGGATGCACAACTCTTATCAGAGTGAGGGGGCCGAACTGTCATTCACTGTCACTGGGCGCGTGGCCGAAGTGAGATTTCGCGGTGCGGATTGTTGCTGTGGTTCTTTGTTATTGTTGTTATTGTTGCTGCTGTTGTTGTTATTGGTGTTGCTTGTTGCTTGTCGTTTGTTGTCTGTTGTTGTCGTCGTTCCAAACGCGCTCCGGCCCGCGACCCACCCGCGACTCACCCACGAGCCTCCCCGCGAGCCACCCGCGACCCAACCGCAACCCTCTCGCAACCCACTCCGCGATCATTTTGCGAACCACCCGCGACCCACCCGCGACCCACCAGCGACCACGTACACGACCCACTCGCGACCCACCCGCGACCACACCGCGACTCACCCGCGACCCACCCCCGACCAACCCACAGTGCTCCAACGAAAAATTGGCGCTTGCGGCGAGATCGCTGTATAGTGTGTAAAACCTCGCAGACTGCCGATGTCCCCGCCGCCCCCTCACTCGTATCCGTAACTGCGGGGTGCTGCTATATTGGTGCTGAAACGTGTCGCGTGGAAGCTCCATCCCAGTGGCACCTCGGCCACTGACACGCCCTCGATATTCAGCGGGCCAAACGCCCGCTCCGCAACAGGGGTTTCTGGAATCACCCCAAACCACCTCCTAGTGCTCTTCGCACTGTTCTTTTGATTGTTTCCGGGCCTAGAACCCTTCCTCACGAACGGAAGAATCTACCACTCCCATGCCCAAACACAGAATTCAGGATGCAAATGCACGGAAAGGATTTGGTCTGCCGTAGTGTACGATAACCGTCAACGTGTACATCGTCATGCCCTTGCAAACTGCTTGGGGCAAGTGTGATCCCGTGCGCTCTGGAAAGGCCTCGGCGCCCTCCAACCCAGGAGGGAGATAGACATTGCACTATGCCCCCTGCCCTCCCGCAACACACGCACACGCGCATACACCCACACACACACACACACGCGCACACGCACACACGCACATTGTTTGCGTCGGCGGCTAGGCAGGCGAACTGCGCTGTCGGAAGGAGGGGGTGGAAAAGCAGAGGAAGAGACCGAAAGAGGGGGCGGAAGGAGCGAACCGCTCAGGGGGACGGGTCACGCCCCGAGCATGTGGCGCGGCCGGCCCCGCCAGCGGGCCCGCGGCGGCTGCTGCACCAAGGGACCGGCGGCGGGGGGGCTCTGCGGGGGCAGGTCATCACCACCCCAGAGGGGCAAGCGTGGAACGCGGTCAGTGTCAAAGCTTGGTGGCCGCCCGTGTTTGCCAGCAAAAAGCTGGGGCGCCGGCGGCGGGCGGCAAGACCAGGCCTGGGGGACCGGCGCGGCGGCTGCGAGCAGCCGGTCAGCGCCATGGCAGCGCACGCGCGTACACACGCACACACGCACACACGCATACACGCACACACGCCCCCCCCCACCCACCCCACCCCCACCCACACACAACACACAACACACGCAACCACAAACACAAACACACACACAACACAACACACAACACACAACACACAACACACTACATGCAACATGCAACATGCAGCATGCAACACACACACACACACACCACCACACACATACACACTCACACTCACGCCCGCACTGGTACTCTCTCTCACACACACTCACACTCACACCCACACTCACACTCACACTGACACCCGCACGCACTCACACTCACGCTCATACTCATTCTCTCCCCCGCACTCACACACTGGGGCGCACTCGCGCAAGTGGCCGCGGGCCCGTGGCAGATGACGCGCGGAACAGGGGTAGGCTTCCAGCGACGCTCTGGCCGCGGGGCGCCGAGGTGTCACCGCGTGTAGTCTCACCTGTCCCCCGTTGTCGCTGGGGCGGCGCACGATCCCTTTTCACTTCCCTGCGCCCTTGGAAGAACCTTCAATGTACTTGCTACCCTCCTGCCTGCTCCCTGCCGCGGTCCATGTCGGCTGGCTCCTTCTCAGCACTGCCGCTCGCGACTTTGCCGAAAGGGCCCGAGGTGGGCTCGGGGCCCCGCGCGCGCGCGGCGCCCCGCCCCCTCCGCCCGGGAGAAGCAGCTGCAACAGAGGGGGGGGGAAGTGAAGGAGACGGGACAGGAGGAGTTGGGGCGACGGGGCGCGCGGGGAGCCAGAGCGGGACAGGGTTCCCTCCTCCTCGTCCTCCCTTTCCGTCCCTTCCTGCCCGCTTCTCTTCTTCTGTCCGCTGCTTTTGCCCACGGGTCCCCCTCCTCCGTTCTCTGGCCCCCAGGCGGTCGTTTCCGGCCCCCGAAGGGGGTGGAATGGCCAGGGGGGGATTGACGAGGAGTGTGGAAGAATGGACAGGTGAACAGGGCGGATAAGGGGGGGGGGCGGGGGGAGGGGGGAGGGGGGAGGACAAGCTAGGTTGCGCTCGCGTCAAATGTTGCGCTCGCGTCAACATCTGACATCCTACCCCTCCCTCCCATCCCTTCCCATTGAGCTACTTCATTGTCCTCTCACCGAATCGGGCTTCGCATCTGACCCTGTTACCTAAGAGGGAAAGGAGGAGGACGACGGCGCGATGAAAACGAAGACGACGACGACGAAGACGACGACGACGACGACAACCACGACGACGACGACGGCGGCGACGAAAACGACGACGACGACGATGAGGACGACCGGCGACGAAGACGACGACGACGACAACGCGACCGCGCCGGAGCGGCACCCGCGCCAGCTGCCCGCTGCCGTTACGCGCGTCCCCCACCCGGATTGAAGGACCGGAAAGACTCGGATTTTCAAAAACATAGATGAAAACCAAATTCCCGGGAATCCTGTGCGGAAAAGGACGCCGCCCAAAAGGGGGGGGGGCTTTCTGCGGCCCCAAAAATCAACGAATCGACATCGGATGTGTAATCACCTCCAATGTTTTTGCCGGGGATCATTTTCTAGATTTGGGGCTTCTTAAAAAGGATCGAAAACGTCGGCGCTGCAGCGGGAGCACGTTTTGGAACAACGAGAGGCGCAGAAATTGGGCCAGCGCTGCAGCGGGAGCACGATTCGGAACGAGCGGGAGCGCGGAAATGAGGCCAGCGCTGCAGCGGGAACACGATTCGGAAGGAGCGGGAGCCCGAAAAATAGGCCAGCGCCTCAGCGAGAGCAGCATTTTAGAAAAAAACACAAGCGAAAACCCAACTCCGGGGAATCCTGTGTGTAAAAAAACAGTACGCGGGGGGGTGCCGAACATCTTCCGGACGCCATCAGGGGAAGTGGGAGAGTAGTATTCATATTGTGTAATTGTAGATCAGGAGGGAAAGGGGCCACGAGGAGGGAGAAATGGAGAGGAGGAGGAGGAGCAGGAGCAGGAGCAGGAGGAGGGGACGGAGGAGGAGGAAAAGGAGGAGGAGGAGGAGGAGGAGGAGGGGGAGGACGAGGCGGTTGAGGGAGGAGGCGGAGGAGGAGGAGGAGGAGGAGGAGGAGGAGGAGGAGGGAGGAGAGGAGAGGGAGGACGAACACGAGGCAGGAGCAGAGGCAAACGGAGGAGGGGGAGGAGGAGGAGGAGGGGGGAGGATGGGGGAAGGGGGAGGGAGGAGGAGGAGAAGGGGGAAGAGATCGAGAAACATGAAGAAATGGAGGAGCAGCAAACAGGAGAGGATGATAATGAGGAAGGAGTAGGAGGAGGGGGAGGAAGAGGAGGAGGAGCACGAACACGAACCACGAGCAAGAGTAGGAGGAGGAGAGGGTAGGAGGAGGAGGAGGAGGAGGAGGAGGAGGAGAAGGAGGAGGGAAAGGGAAGGAGGAGGAGGAGGGGAAAGGGAGGAGGAAGGAGCGAGGAGGAGGGAGGAGGAGGGAGTGGAAGAGAAGCGAGGGATGAGGAGGAGGAGGAGGAGAGGGAGGAGGAGGAAGGAGGAGGAGGGAGGAGGAGATGGACAGGAGAGAGGAGGAAGAGAGCACGAACACGAGCAGGAGAAAGAAGGCAAAAGCAGGAGGGGGAGGATGAGGAAGAGGACGAGGACGAGGAGGGGAGGAGGAGGAGAAGAGGAGGAGACAGAGGAGGAGGAGGAGGAGGAGCAGGAACAGGAGGAGGAGGATGAGAAGAGGAGGAGGAGGGAGGAACACGAACACGAACAGGAGCAGGATCAGGAGGGGAGGGGGAGGAGGCGGGAAGAGGAGGAGGAGGAGGAGGGAGGAGGAGGAGGGAAGAGGGAGGAGGAGGAGGATGAAAAGGGAGGGGGAAGAAAACGGGGAGGAATAGAGGAGCAGGACGAGGAAGAGGAGGAGGACGAGGGAGACGGGAGAGGAGGTGGATGAGGGGCAGGAGGAGGAGGAGAGTAGGAGGAGGAGGGGAGGAGGAGGAGGAGGAGAGACGGGAGAGGAAGAGGAGGAAGGGACGAGGAGAGGAGGAGCTCGAACGGAGCAGGAACGGGAGGATGAGGAGGAGGTGGAGGAGGAGGAGGAGGTGGAGGAGGAGGAGGAGGAGGACAGGGAGGATGAGGAGGAGGAGGGAGGAGAGCGGAGGGCAGCAGAAGTACGAAAAGCAGACGGATGGCGGACCACAGGAACGGGGGAGGAGGATGACGACGCAGGAAGAGGAAGAGGAGGAGGATGAGAATGAGGAGACGAGGACGAGGACGAGGACGAGGACGAGGAAGATGACGAGGAAGATGAGGAGGAAGATGAGAAGCAGAGGGAGGAAGAGGAGGAGGAGACGGTGGAAGAGAAGGAGAAGGCGTAGGAGGAGGTCGAGGAAGATCATGAGGAGGTGGACGAGCAGGAGGAGGAGGAGGAGGAGGAGGAGGGCGATGCGGAGGAGGAGGCGGTGGAGGAGGGGGAGGAAGAGGAGGGGGAGGAAGAGGAGGGGGAGGAGGAGGAGGAGGAGGAGGAGGAGGAGGAGGAGGAGGAGGAGGAGGAGGAGGAGGAGGAGGAGAGGGAAAGGAGGAGGATGGGATGATGATGAGGAGGAGGAGGAGTAGAAGGAGGAGGAAGAGTAGGACGAGGAAGGAGGCGGAGGAGGATGAGACGGAGGTACAGGAGGGGGAGAAGGAGGAGGGGGAGGAGGAGAACGACGAGGAGGATGAGGAGGAGGTGGAGGAGGAGGCAAAAGAGGTGGAGGAGGAAGATGAAGAGGAGGTGGAGGAGGAGGAGGAGGAGCAGGAGGAGGAGGATGAGAAGGAGGAGGAGGAGGAAGAGGAGGAGGGGGGATCAAGAGGAAGGGCGGTGGGGGGCTGGCATGAGTGGCGGGGGGCAAGAGACACGGGGGGAGACGCGGAATGATGATGACATGGATGATAATGAAGAAGAGGATGGCGGGCGACAGCGATTGACGAGGACGAGGAGGAGGACGAGGATAAACCGGAGGGAGGCCACGGTGACGAGGCGGAGGGGGTTAAGGATGGGCCGTAGGATGAGTTGGGAAGATGGGGAGCGGGAGCAGTGCTGCTGAAAGGGGAGTTCAACACAAAACAAAACAACACAAAAAGATGCAAGCCAGGCGGGTCGGATGACGTGGCAGCTTTTGGAAAGCATCTGCTGTTGGGTACCGTCCTCGTGTTTCCATCCCCGTCCTGGGCGTGCCAGTTTAAGGCCCCTGGCCGCCGATGGGGGAGCAACCAACTACAACACATGTTCTTAACACTGATCGGTCCCACCGCCCAGCGTTGTCCGACGACGAGCTTGACTCTTTCATGTCCTTTTCGACCCCTCCCCCCCTCCTCCTCTTACCTTATACCTCCTCCCTCTCCCTCCTCGCCGTTTCTCGATCCTCGTCCTCCCCCTCTTCCTCCACCTCCTCCCTCTCCTCCCCCCGCTTGGGCTCCCCAGCGGAAAGCGCACGCTTCAGGCGTTCGTTCGTTATTTCATTTCCCTTTCGCAATGATTTGGCATCGCTCGGACGTGTGCATTTTGCCTTCGGCGAGGACCGTCGAGGAGCATCCTTGATCATTTGTCGAAGAACCACGCACGAAACCGAACAATTACGCTACCGAGGAACCCCACATACCTATTTAATTTCCCATGTGTACCATCGGTGCGTCTGCTGCTGCTCCTCCTTCTCTTCCTCGGTGTCCTCCTCCTGCTGCTGCTTCTGCTCCTGCTGCTGCTGCTGCTTCTGCTGCTGCTGCTGCGTCTGCTGCTGCAGCTGCTGCTGCTGCTGCTGCTGCCGCTGCTGCTGCCCCACCTCCCCGTCCTCCTCCTCCTCCTCCTCCTCCTCCTCCTTCTCCTCCTCCTGTACCTCCTCCTCCTACCTCCCAGCGCACCCCCTGTGGCGTCGACGACATGCCACGCCTGCCACGCCCTGGGAGCCTGCAGCGCATAGGGCCCCCACCCCCAGCGCGCCCCCTGTGGCGTCGAGGAAATGTCACGCCTGACACACCCTGGGAGCCTGCAGCGCATAGGGCCCAGCCCCAGCGCACCCCTTGTGGCGGCGAGGAAATGCCTCGCCTGCCACGCCCTGGGAGCCTGCAGCGCATAGGGCCCCCACCCCCAGCGCACCCCCTGCGGCGTCGAGGAAATGCCACGCCTGCCACGCCCTGGGAGCCTGCAACGCATACGGCCCCCACCCCCAGCGCACCCCCTCGCCTGCCACACCCTGGGAGCCTGCAGCGCATAGGGCCCCACCCCCAGCGCACCCCCTGTGGCGTCGAGGAAATGCCACGCCTGCCACGCCCTGGGAGCCTGCAGCGCATAGGGCCCCCACCCTCAGCGCACCCCCTGTGGCGTCGAGGAAATGCCACGCCTGCCACGACCGTCGTGCATAGCGGCCGAGCTCAGGGACCGCCCCCCTGTACACCCGCTCTGGTGCGAGAATGAGAAGGGGAGGGGGGAGGTGTGAGACGCGGTTGCGGCGCGGCAGGGAAAAAACCAGAACCCTACGAAACATGTGGGAAAAACACAGGGAATGGACGTCCGAGCGATGGCGAGATGATCGGGGCCCCTCAGACGGTGCAGTGGCCAGCGGCCACGCCGTGTCGAGAGTCGGCGGGGTCCCGGGTTGACAGGACGGTTTTGGAGCCCGCGCCGTTGTCCGAGGACGCCCTGGGCGACCGGGCCCCAGGGGGGGGGTTAAGAGCGCACGGTGACGGACCGTGCGGTGTGGTCTTGTGTGGAGCTTAGAGCTCAGCGCAGGGTCTGTCACCGCACCGTCTCGGGACCCCCAAACAGAAGTGAAGTACGTCATCAGGGGAACGGATCCTCGACCCCAGGGCTTGTTCCAGGACCGGCTCCAGGACTCCGTCGAGAGGGCGGCTGGGCAAACTGGATGGCATGGAAAAATCCAGTCGTCGGGTTTTGGGGCGACTCGTCCTCCTCAGGCCTCCGCCCGATTAGCGTTCTGACGGTCCTGGGGCCCGTGTCCGAAAATGGCGAAGATTTTATGGGACCTTGTCCTTCAGGACTTGTTTCATGATACCATGTTTTTCCTGTCCTCCCACCTTCCTCGAAGGAGGGAGGAGAAGCGACACCACGACCGCCATCGGGCCACCTCGAGCGCAGAGATCCACGATGCGTTTTTGGGCCAGAGATTGGAGATGCCTCGAGCGGGGCGCCAGAAGACAGGAAGACCACACCACCAGGAGGACCCTCCCTGGCTCTTGCACCCTGGTGGTGCTGGCGCCGTCTTTCCTCGCCCCGACTCATCAAGCGTAAAACACCCCCCAACCTTGATAACACAACAAATTCGGTGCCTATCCCTGAACACATGGGTGGTCTCGCCTGACACATCTGCAAGATAAGACCCCCTATCCCTAATGCTTCTGACCCTCTGACCCTCCTGGCTTAGGTCCCCTCCCAAAGGATTAGGGGAGCTCCTCTTGCTCACCACCAACCCCCAGCGCTGCCGCGGCGACGCCGACCCGGCCCCCGCCCCCAGGCTGCGAGGAGTGCAGCGAGGCCTGCTCCATCTGCCTGGACGGCCTGGTCTTTCCAGGGGGGGGCAGGTCGTGCCGGCGCCCGGCTGAGGAGGAAGCGACGGGAGGGGCGTGGGGGGGAGGCGGGAGGGAGAAGAGGAGAGGAGGCAGGAGGAGGGAAGAGTGAGGATTGCCAAACGTCGGGGGGTGATGTGCCATGTCTGTAGGGATGATGCGGCCGTCGGCGGAGGGGGCGGAAGAGGAGATGCGGAGGGAGACAAGGAAGACGGAACAAGAAGAACGGGAGAAGGAACAGGAGCGGGAGGAGCAGTAGGAGCAGGAGAGTTGAGCAGGAGGAGGAGGAGGAGGAGGAGGAGGAGGAGGAGGAGGAGGAGGGAGGAGGAGGAGGAAGAGGAGGAGGAAGAGGTTGGATGAGGAGGAGGAGGAGGAGGACGAATAGGAGGAGCGGGAGGGAGGATGAGGGGATCAGGATGGATAATGAAGTGGGAGGAGGAGGAGGACAGAGCTGGAGAAAGAGGAGGAGGGAGAGGAATATCAAGGGGGAGGATGGAGAGGAGAAGAGGGAGTATGAGGAGGAGTAAGACGAGGAAGAGAGAGAGACAGGGGAGAAAGCAAGAGCGCTGCTGGAAGAGTTGGGCCGGGCATCCCCGCAGGCATCATGCTACACACCAGGCGTTACAGATATGGTCGGGCTTACCACGTGCTGGATTTTTTTGAAGTCAGTCTCGGCGCCCCCTCGACGGCCTCCGCGCTGGCAGTTTTGGGGCCATCTTGCGGGCCTCGTGGCCCGTATGAGAGCGTCGGGAAGCCGAAAAGGGAGACACGCGGTGATTACTCCAAGGCTTTCGGACATTCAATGCATGTTCCCTCTTGGGGCCCTCGTGGGATGGTTTAATGAGCTTCTTGGGGCGTGTTGGGGGCGTCTTGGGCCGTTTGGTGGCCATCTTGGGCGGCTTGGAGCGATCTTTGAACGACTCTGAGTTCTCCTGGGCTCCTGGTGAGGTATCTTGGAATTGAATTGCCGAAGGCGCCCTCCGAAAGGGAAAGGGGGGGAGTGGCTTCTGACCCGGGACCCCCCCCCCGGGCTGGGGAAAGGACCCAAAGGAAGGGGCTCCCTTTCGATCTAATTGTTTATGCTTCGGCTTCGCGAGTCACAGCCAGCCCCCTCAGAAGCCCTGCCCACGAGAGCTGACGAGAAATGGGCAGCAGAGACGCATATGCTGAAACAGAGCGGTCAAATAGAGGAGGGGGATGGCCGAGGATCGTCTTGAGCCATGTTGGAAGTTATCTTGGAGCATCGGAGGCCTTTGTGGAGCTATCGGGCTTTTTGAAGGGTTCCTGGGGTCCTCTTGGGGCGATGTTGGTGCATCTTGGGATCCTCTTGGGGCTCTTTGGGGTGTCTTGGGGTCCTCTTGGGGCTCCTCTTGGGGTCCCTCTTGGGGCTCTCTTCGGGCTCTCCTGAGAGTTTGGGATGGCCTCCTGGTGCCATCTTGGAGGCCATCGATCAAAAGGGGAGGGCATCTTACCTAGCCTCCCCCCTAGGAGCCGTCGAAATCGCATCTGGGGGCCCTGTTGGGGCGCTGCTGGGGCGATCTTGGGCGCCCTTGGGATCATCTTGGGGGCCTCGTAGGCCTCTCTTGGAGCTCTCTTGGGCCGTCTGTGGGCCATATTGAGGCCTGAAAAAGAGCATCGGAAGCGAAAAGGCGAGAATGCCAAACTCATTGATTGGCTTTAGGTTCTTGAAGGATTTTGGCTTCTCGGGGAGTTCCCGAGGGGTCTCCAACAGCACTTGGATCCGTCTTGTGGCCCTCTTGGGGCCTCTTGGTTAGCTATCTTGAACCATGTTGGGCTATCTTGAGCGATCTTGGAGGCTATATTGGGCTCTCTGGGGCCCTCTTGGAGCCATCTTCTTGGGCCAACCAGGGCCCTCTTTCCTCGTCCAGGTCCTGTGTAGGGGGTAGGGGGAGGAGTCAAGCAACCCACTCGCCCACAAGCCGTCTAGCTCACTCCCACCCGCGCTCCTAACACATAAGTAACACCCGAGCCTGAGCATGTTCAGCGGTCGTCTTTGGATGGGCAGCTACTGGGAACCACCGCCGATCCCAGGTGGGCGACGCTTGGGAAAGGTTCGCCACGCGTGCCAGGGGCGCCACGCGCGCCAGGCACCCCTGGGGCCCGAGCGTGCCAGGCGCGCCTGGTGCGCCAGATGCGCCACGTGCTCCGAGTGCGCCAGGCGTGCTGCACACTCCAGATGCTCCACGATCTGGGCACGTGCAGGGTGCGTCAGGTGCGCCTGCGTACGTGACAGCACACATCGAGAAACATGTCGGCCTCCGCCATCCCTGTCGAAAACCAATGCCCATCATTGTGTCTGGTGGGACTGCGCGCAGCAGGCCCCGTGCCACCACCCCCGCCGTCCCTGTCAAAAACCATTTGACAGTGATCGCGAAATGGCCGCGCATGGTCCAGATTTAGCCGCGAGGTGCATGTTGTATTGTCTTTGTCAGGGATGGTAGCCTTGTGCGCAGCAGGGAGTATGCTACCCCCCCCGCCGCCCCGGTCAAAAACAATACAAAGTGCTCGCGGGCCTCGCGAACAAACTCAAGACTTTGCCCCAAAGTGCACTTTGCGTTGTTTTTTGACAGGGATGTAAGGGGGGGCACATCGGGTTGGCCGCGCATGATCCAAATGTGGAGGCAGAGCGCGGCTTGTATTGTTTTCTGAAAGGGATAGTGGGGGGGCGGGCCCGCATGGGGTCGGCATGGTTCCGGGTTGGCTGCCGGCCGGGTGTGGGAGGGTGTGGGAGGGGGAACGACATCGTAAGACAGCTTGCGCCCAGAGGGCTGGCGGGATTACGACTCACTGCGACCGCGACCTGGCTCGGATCACTTCGAGTTGACGGGCGTGCCGCATGTCAGACCACCATTCCTGGGGTTTGAGTTGTATGAACTCTTGAAACTGCTGCAGCATATTTAGAACACGGCGCTATGGCGAGAGCCGCATTTTGAAAGGGATTGCTCTGCATCCTTCAACTAGCTGCAAGCCTTTCAGACGAACGCGCGCAGCGCTGAGACGAGGCTCGCTTTTTGAAAAGGCCCACCCTCCATCGTTGAAGCAGTTGTAAGCTTTACAGTCGAATGCGCGCGGCGTTCAATCGAGAGCCACATCTTGAAAACGACGGGCCTTCCATCCAAACGTTGAACACGAACGTGCGCGGCGCTCGGATGAGAACCGCACGTTGGAAATCACCTGCCATCCATCCTGTAAGTTCTTGAACATGTCATGCTTCAGGGCCACAAGTGGTGAGGAGGTCTCCAACGAGACGCCCAGACCACCCTGCCAACATGCCTGGGGGCGCGACAGGGAGGAGTTAGAGGAGTTAGTTATTGAACATATGTTTACACATCAGCGCACAGTTTCCCAACGATACAACAGACGGGTGGGCGAGCCCCGCCTGAGGTCGCTCCTTGGCGAGAAAGCCGCTGCCACACAGGTGCAAGAGAGGGCACCATGAGCGAGGTCCGCCTCACCCCGCAGAGCGGGCCGGGGCCAAGACATTTGCAAAGCCGAGACCACACGCCTGCAGCAGCAGGCAGGAAGTGCACGCTCCGAGATCGTGTCTCCCGTGCAGCAGAACAACAAAAGGGCGACCTCGCATCGGCGAGCGCCGCTTTGGGGAGGGGGCTTCGCGAGTTCCTTTCGGAGCGCCCACTGTGGCCCCCTCCCCTCACTGATCGACCCTCGGCTCAGCCGCCAACAACAGGGCATCCGTCGGTTATACAAGACAATAGCCACTGTTGAGGGTGGGAGGCGACGGGGTGCAACGGGCGGGGAGGACAGGGAGACCTCCCCCGTGCCCCGACGTTCTCGGCAAAAAAGGCGGCCCCACTGTGCAACGGTCGCCGCAGGGGGAGAATTACCTCCAGCGCCCCACGGCCGTGCTAGCAGGGGGACGTGGACAGCACGCATCAGTGAAAAGGACGGCCTCGGGGACCCCAGATCGAGCCCGCGACGTGAGTCCAGCGACCGTGACACAATGGAGACTGAGCGGCCCCCCTGAGCAACTGTCACCGCAGGGGGAGAATTACCTCCAGCGCCCCACGGCCGTGCAAACAAGAGGATGTGGACAGCACGCAGCAGTGAAAAGGACGGCCCCTGGGGACCCCAGATTGTACCCGCCGCGCGTGCCCAACAAGTTATCGAGAACAGAAAAGAGTGGAGTAGGAGGAAGAGGAGGAGGGATAGGAGGAGGAGGACGAGGAGGAGGAGGAGCAGGAGGCGGAGGGGGAGGAGGAGGAGGAGGAGGAGGAGGAGGAGGAGGAGGAGGAGGAGGAGGAGGAGGGAGTATGAGGAGGTGGGCCAGGTGGACCCGGCGCGGCTCCCCTGCGGCCACCGCTTCTGCGTGCACTGCGTGCTGCCCCTGTTCGGCCACCCGCCCGAGGCCTCGGAGCCGCGGCCTCTCTCCCGAAGGTCGGGGGCGGCTAAGAGGGGGGCGATGGGGTCGGGGGCGGCTAAGAGGTGGGCTAAGGTCGGGGGCGGCTGGGAGGGTGGTGGTGGATATCATGGCGGGGGCCTTCGTGGGCCCCGGAATCGGCAGGGCCGTTTGTTCACCGTTTCCGAACAAGTGTCCCCTGAATTAATGGTAACGGCAACAGAACCTGCGACCGGAAAGGGCCACAAAAACGGCTCCAGGAGTAGAACCTGAGCGGGAACCCGTAAAAGAACGGCGACGGAACCGGTAACAAAAACGGCGTCGGAACCGGCAACAAAACGGCAAAACGGAACCCGTAACAAAAATGGTTCTGTCGTTTCCAGGGCCCATTAAGGTGGTGGATATCATGGCGGGGGCCGTGATTTCTCCCCAGATATCATGGCGCCTCTTCTTATTTCATTGCGTCCCCAGGCCTTCCCCCCCTGGGCCGCGCACGTGCCGCCGGCCACGATTTGCACCCATGCTCTGTTGGACGCCCCCCTACTTGGACACCCAACGGAAAGGGGGCATGACGCGTTGCTTCTTGGGGGGCCCTGTCTGTCCTCTTCTTGTTCGAGGCGCGCGTTCGAAGGGGAGTTCGACGCGGATTTTACGTGGATTTGATGTGGATTTGACGATTTTTATATGTTGATTTGATGTGGATTTGATGTGGATGTATATGGATGCGACGTGGATAGCGGCGCAACGCGACAAAGAAGGTCCCACAAAGGTGCAACATCATGGGCAGTGGATCAGTCAGCGATCGAAGAACGGTATAAAATACATTTTCCGCCGTCGGAGATACCTGCCCCTGGGCGGCTGGAAAGTTTATCCCCCTACGGTGCCACCGTAAGGGTATAAACTTTCCAGCCGCCCTGTGACAGGCGCCCCCGACAGCGAAAAAGTTTATTTTACACCGTTCTTCGCCTGTTAGATCAGCACCGTCAGGCACATCCCCACTCTCCCACCGGGAACCCCTTCCCGGATCTCCAGCGATGTGTGAGTGTGTGTGTGTGTGTGTCTTGCAGTCCCGGCGCGGTTCCCCGATGATGTCGGACTCTGAGGCCCGTTCTGCAGACCCAGACCCTGGCGCGAGAAATAATGTATTCGTTTACCAACACGCCAAAAGGCGATGACAATCTTAGGGATTCGCCCTCACAAAATAAGGGAATCCCTACGATTGGCAGAGGAGGTGCCCAGCATAGGGATTGGGATATGTTCCAGGCTGGTAATTCGTGAGAAAACGACCCTTTGGAAACTGGGCGAGACCGCTTGGGCCACGGATGGAAAAATCAGATCGTCGGGTGTCTGGGGCATGAACGCCTTGGCCCCGCTGGCCGACCTAGACCCTCGCGAAAACAACGACGTTGATTTCTGTTGCGTCCTCCGCCTCCGGGGGGCCGCTTCCCCGGCCCAGGACCGGCACAAGGTTGCTCGGAGTGAACAGGAAGACCAGGCTCCATGGGAACGGGTCGAGATTCCCCCCAGACCCCGAACGTGGCGACAGTTTCGCAGATCGCACCCCCCCCCCAGGGATGGCGAGGTCTAAACTGAGTTTGCTGCGAGTGCCCACTATGCTGGCCTCCCAGCAGCCCTCGAAAGTGGTTACAGTTTCGCAGATCGCAGCCCCCCAGGGATGGCGAGGTCGAATCTGAGTCTGCGGCGAGTGCCCACTATGCTGGCCCCCCCAGCAGCCCCCGAACGTGGCGACAGTTTCGCAGCCCCCGTGGGGTTGGCAAGGTCTAGTCTGAATTTGCGGCGAGTGCCCACTTTGCTGACCCCCTCCGGCAGCCCACGAACGTTGCGACAGCCCCCAGCAGATGGCAGCTCCCGTGGGGTTGGCGAGGGCTAGTCTGAATTTGCGGCGAGTACCCACTATGCTGACCCCCCCCGGCAGCCCTCGATAGTGGCGACAGTTTCGCAGATCGCAGCCCCCCAGGGATGGCGAGGTCCGTAGCGCCGAGGCTCGATTGACGGCAAGAGAGGAGAGAAGGAGAAAAGAGAAGTTGGGATGAGAGGAGGAGCAAAGAGAGGAGAAGGGGATCGGGAGGTGGAGACCGCAGTGTCCTCTTCAGAACGACAACCCATAGAAGGAGGGTTGGGAAAACATAGGTTCGCATTGCACGCCAGTTTTCTTTGGCATGGCTCGCCTGGAGAAACTAAGGGAGATCGTGGGGTATTTCTCAGACGACTAAGGTATGGGGGGGGACCAAGGTTCACCGAGCGCGTCCCACGACTCGCAAAGTGCCTTCTCGCAAACGTCCGAAAAAACATGTCCGTTCTGGTGTAATCTATCGTAGATCCTCCGCGGAGGATCCAGGCCATCTGCGAGTAGTTATTTTGCGAGCAGTGGAGCGCTCTCCTCTAAAGCTACCACCTGGCTCTGCTGATGTCGGCGGCCTGGCGGGCGCGTGCTCTAAGGCCTTCGGACCCTGCCCTCTTTCCGCGTCTTGTTTGCCCTTCGCGTTTCTTCCTGCGCCCGCCCGGCCTACCTCGTTCGCGCTTCGCCCAGGCCGGCACATCAGTATCATTAGTTGATGCACTAAAAGGCGACAAGCTTGCGCTTCACGTCGGGGCGACGTCAAAGGAGGATGAGGAGGAAGAGGAGGAGGAGGAGGAGGAGGAGGAGGAGGAGGAGGAGAGAGAGTGAAGCAGGGAAGGAGGCTGGAGAGTCTGAGGGGATGACGGAGGAGAGCGAGGAACCCAGGAGGACCAGCATGGCCTCGAATTTAGCTGCATGCGGATGCCCCGTAGCACTTTCTGTCATGTGGCGCGCCCCAATTGTTCTCGTCCTCGTCCTCCGCCTGGCTTATCCTGGAGAGGAGGCGGAGGAGGAGGAACGGGACGGGGAAGCAGGCTTGAGAGAACGCAGGGGCGCGAGAAGGAGGACCAGCACGGCCTCGACTCTGTTTGTGTGGTGCAAGCGGAGGCCCCGTAGCCTTTTTTATCAAACACCACGGCCCCCCATCCATGAGAGCTGACGTCGTGAAAAAGATATGGAACATCGCAACAAGAAATCACGACCGGACCCCCAGACCCCATCTTTCTGCTGCAATTGTCGAGCCCGATCGATGCGTGACGGTCCCGTTCCCGGAAGCTGACGAACATGCCTTTTGCGAAACAATGCGAAGCCAGGAGCCATCTCAGACATGCGATGTCTTGATTGTTTCGTCAACATGGGACCTCTAGAAGTCCCGATTCCGCTCCCTGCGCCAGTTCTGCATCCCAGGTCATTTTGTTGACGGTCCTGGGTCCTGGCCAGGGCCTCCAGAGGCCGAAACACTCCCACCCACCCCCCGACGATGCCAGGATCTCAGGGATCCCCCTCCCCCGCAGCTCCCCCGCGCGCGGGCGCGTGATGGGCGCCCGCTGCTCCAAGAGCAGCACCGCCAGCGGCGGCGCCGGCAGCGACAGCGGGGAGCGCTGCCGCTGCTGCTGCTGCTGCTGCAGGGCCGGCGCCGCCCAGCCCGGCGGCGCCCCTACGCCGGACGAGCTGTGGCGGATGCCGCTGGAGGACCGAGCAGTTATTCAGAGGAGTAGACCGCTGCCCTCCGCCCGTTTTGCCCTTTTGGGGTTCCCCGGAGGGCCCTCGGCTCCACCGCTGGAGTCGCCCCGAAGATCTGGCCAGAAGGCACCCCAGGAGAGGTCCGGGGAGGAGCGGTATCGGTTCGGTTTGGGTTTCGATATCGGGAGCTTTTGTTGGCGTGTCGCTCCGCCGGTGCTAGCCCACCACGCCTCCCATAACCCCCGACGCAATGGTTATTTCGTTGCGTCGACCCCCAGTATAGGTCTCGACCCGTTCCCCGGGACCGGTTTCTCATCCTGCGAGTCGTTTTTGGACGGTCCCTGCCCGGCGAGGGCCCCCATGGATGCCGAAAAGGACAGAAAAGACCTCGCGTCATGATTTTTGTCACAACTCTCGGGGCGGAAAAGAGGGGGGTGATGACTAGGGGGGGGGGGATATCATGGCGGGGGGCAAGATGTTTCCCCAGATTTCATGGCGCCTCTTCTTATTTTAATTACGTCCCCGGCCCCCCCCTGGGCCGCGCACATGCCGCCCGCCATGATTTGCACCCCCCCTCTTGGACGCCCCCATCTGTGCCGCCCCCGATACTCGAGGGGGTCTGGCTTCGGCGCGTGCGCGCTGCCCACGTCCCCATGCCCCGAGTGTCAGCCTCCCGGGCTCGTCCCAGCCTCCCGCGGGGCGCCGCGGAGCGGCGCGGCTAGCTCCGCCTGCACGGCATAATATATTAGCGTGCCGCCGGGGCCGCCGCCGCGGCAGGCGAAGCAAGAGTTCGACCGAGCTCGGGGGACTGCCTGTCTCGTGACTGGTCGTTCACGACCCATCAAACCATCCCAACCCAATCCGAAGGCCTCAATTTGCCCACTATTTCCAGTGGGGGGGGGGTGGTCGGGGAACGTTGTAAAAACACATGGAACCCGTACCCCCCCCAACCCGAGATTCGGGTCAAATTCGTGTCTTCAGGTTGGGTTGGGGTGGTCTGGTAGGTAGTCAGTCGTATGCTCCCATGGGCGGCGCCTGGGGTGCAGTCGTGGGGGGCCCAGCGCCGTTCCAAGACGTCTGCATAAGCCCAAAGCCCAACAGTGCTGTAGCAGGGGGGGGGCCTCTTACATCATCACGAGGATCGCGTGCTCCAAGACCCCTGCCCGCTTTGCTCTGATGTGTTATGACGGTCGTGAGCTCAGGGGCCTTGCCTTCGAGAGCCGAAGGAGTTGGCATCTCTTCCGCGGCGGGAGGCGGCGGGAGGCCGGCGGAAGCAACACGGGGGCGGCTCCTCCGCCTGAAGCCGGCGGAAGGCGGCGGACGCAACAGGTGCGCCCCTCCCAAGAAACGGCAACGTTTTTCGCTTCCGGGTCTCCGGCATCCGCCCCAGGTTGGGTCGAGAGGCTCGGGGCAGAGCCTGCGCCCGCAGAGGAGCTGCTGGGGGCGCTCCGGGCGCACCCCGCGGCGCAGGAGGTCCAGGCGAGCGGCCTCGCCGCCCTGGCGCATGCGCTGGCCGCCGCACCCGGCGACGCCCAGGCCCGGGCGGCGGGCCTGGGCGCGGCGGCCACGGTGGCGGAGGCCATGTGGGCGCACGCCGCCGCCCCGGCCGTGCAGAGCGCCGCCTGCCTGGCGCTGTCGAACCTCGTGGCCAACAGCCCGCCGGGCAAGGATCGGGCTGGAAGAAAGGGGGGGGATTGGGAAAGGGGGGGGTACAAAATTTGCTGCGTGCAGCTGGTTTCGGCCTCACCGAGGGTCCCATTCCTCGATACATAGCCGCCTCTGGCGCCGGGAGGCGCCGGGAAAATCAGCTACGTGAGCTGATTCTCAACCCCCCCTTTGCTATCCCCCCCTTTTCCCCGACCCTAAAGGAGGCCGCGGCCCAGGCAGGCGCCCTGGTGGCCGCGCTGGGGGCGCTGGCGCGGCACGCGGCGGAGGCATCCGAGGAGGAGGGGGTGCCGATGCCGCTGCCCGTGGGTCGTGTGCGCCCCTGTGGACGTTCTCGGGGGCCCCCTCGACGCCATCGCTGGATTCTCCTCGAAACGCTGGTCCGCAAGCACCCCGGGAGGGGTCTCGGGAGTATATATATATATATATATATATGTATATAGCGGTGTCCGTACCTTGTGTCGGCGGCGAGCGAGGGGCGGAAGTGAGAAGGAGAAGGCCTTCTCGGAAGGCGGCAGGGCTTCTCAGAAGCCTTCCGGCCTTCCGAGAAGTGTTCCGTGTTTGGGGGGAGGCTTAGAAAGCTTCTCAGAAGGCCCGAGAAGCTCGGGCTTTTGGGAAGGCCCGCCATTCCTCCAGATTTTTGTCAACACGGGGTCCCTGGAAGTCCCGACCTTCCCTGGGACCCGTTTTCCATCCTGAGCTGTTTCTTGACGGTCCCGAGGACCGGCGAGGGCCCCCCGTGCAGCCGAAGTTGGCCAAAGACCTCCCGTCCTGAGTTGTTTTACCACGCGATCGTGTCTGGGGATGCTCGGGCCGGGCGAAAGGGGGGGATCGGGAAAGGTGGGGTTACGAAATTTGCTGCATGCAGCTGGTTTCGGCCCCACCGAGGGGCACATTCCTCGACACATGGGCGCCAGGAGGCGCCAGGAGGCGCCGGGAAAATCAGCTACGTGAGCTGATTCTCAACCCCCCCCCTTTGCGATCCCCCCCTTTCGCCCGACCCGGGATGCCCGTCTCCCCGACAGCAGGTGGCGGTGCAGGAGGCCGGCCTGGCGGCCCTCGTGAACCTCGTGGCCGGCTGCACGCCCAACGCGGCCAGGGCCGCCGCGCTCGGCGCGGTCGGGATCGCCGTGGCCGCGATGCGGGGCCACGCCGCGGCGGCCGGGGTGCAGGAGGAGTTACCAGCCTCGAGCGTATCACTCTCCCCAGGATTGACACGCCAGAAGGCGATGACAATCTTACAGTCGGGGCGCTCAAGAAGGAACCCTTTTCGCTGGGGAGGGGCTCGGCGTTCCTTGATTGTTTTACAGTTTGCCTTCAGTTTTCCTTACGTCTTCCATGGGAAATCGAAGTTCAACGTATGGGAGAAAGGGCCCCCTTTCCTTATGAAGAGGAATACGCCCTCAAAAAATAAGGGAATCCCGAAGATTGTCATCGTGATGAGGAGGTGCCCCAGCATAGGGATGGGGATCTGTTCTAGGCTGGCGAGAGGAGGGCTGCGCCCTGCTCGCCGCGCTCGCCGCCCGCAGCGCGGAGGGCCGGGCCGATGTCGCGGGCGGGGAGGGCCTGCGGTGCATCCTCGGCGCGATGGCCGCGCACGCGGGCGAGGCGGGGCTCCCTTCAGTTCCCCGGATTCGGCTCGAGTCGATGTCGATGGATGCCGATTCCGATTCGATTCGACTTGGGTCAGAGCGTGAATTACCTGCCCCGCTTTCGCTTCCAGGCAAAACCAAGTCATACGACGCGCCTCCTCGTCAAGCGGCCCGACCAGTACAGGCCGTAGTTTGGCATCGCTTGGTATCTCTTGGAAGGAAGCGAGGGTGGTCAAAAGCGAGGTAGGTTTGTTTGCCCCCTATTGGGATTCGGATTTGGGTCCCGATGTCTCACTGGACGCGTACAAGCCTGCCGATTTCCGCCGATCCCTTTTGTTCCGGCTCGGCTGTCAATGTCCGCAGATCGGATTCAGTTCGATCGCCGGTCCGATTTGTCGACTCCATTCATTCCGATCGCCGATCCCCTGGTGAGGAGGGCGTGCAGGGCAGGGGCTGCGCGGCGCTGGCGAACGTGTCGGCGAACTGCGTGGAGCACAGGCGGAGGTCGGCCACACGCGCACAGGGGGGGGTCATTACGGGGGGAGGGGGGTGATGCGGCTTCTCAGAAGCACCCCTGCTCCCTAGTAGGAGGCTCGAGCAGTCTCTATATAGATGAAGGGCCGGCGCCTTCTAAGAAGCGGCCTCCTTGTAGGAAGCCCTCCACCCTCCCCCCCTACTACCTCCTTGTGCGCGCCGCCCGCGAGGGTCCTGGACGCGGGCGGCCTCGAGCAGGTGCTGAGCTCCATGGGCGCCCACGACGGCTGCGAGCACGTGCAGGAGAGAGGCTGCGCGGCGCTGTCCTGCCTGTGCGACCCCGGCGGCGGCGCCGCCGGCCTGGACGCGGAGACGTGCGTGCGGGCCGCCGGGCGCGTGCTGAGGATAAAACGACGCGCAGAGGGGGGTGGGGGGAGGGGGGAGGGCTTCTTAGAAGCACCCCTGCTTCTTAGAAGGCGCGGGCCTTCTCTGTAGATGTAAGGCCGGCGCCTTCTAAGAAGCAGCCTGCTTCTAAGAAGCCCTCCCCCCTCCCCCCACCCCCTTGTGCGCGCCGACAAGAGGAGCATGGAGCGCCACCCGGGTGCGCCCGGCGTGCAGGAGCAGGGTTGCCTTGCGCTGGCCGACCTGCTGGGCGCCGGCGGCGCATCCGGGGCCGCGCTCACCTACTGCCTTCAGGGCGTCCTGGACGCAGTGGACAGGCATGTCTCCGAGGCGCGCGTGCAGGAGGCGGGGTGCGTGGCCCTGTCGCACTTCGCTGCAGGCAGTCGCACGGATAGGGAGCTGGTCGCGTCGCAGGGCGGGGTGGAGCGCGTGCTGAGGGCCATGGAGGGGCACGCCGGGGTGGCGGACGTTCAGCGGCGTGCTTGTGCGGCCCTCGTCAACATCGTCCTGAACAGCGACGCCAACCGATCCAAGGCAGCTTCGCTTGGAGCTGTGGAGAGCGTGCTCAAGGCGATGGAGGTGCACGCAGAGGCCCAGACGGCATCGGCTGCCAGCGTTCAGGAGCAAGGCTTCGCGGCCCTGGCAAATTTGGTGTTCGGCAGCGCTGCAAACCAATCAGCGGCCGTGGCCCTCGGTGGGCTGGGGGCGATCCGCAGGGGCATGGAGCAGCACCCTGCGGCCGAAGCGCTGCAGGCGCAGGCCTGCGCGGCGGCCGTGAACCTCGTGTGCGACAGCGCGGCAGGGTCGCAGAAGGCCGTGGAGCTGGGGCTCACCGAGCTGGTCCTGGAGGCCATGGGGCGCCACGCCGCTTCGGCGCGCGTGCAGGCGGCCGCGTGCGCGGCGCTGGCCGCCCTGGCGTGCTGTGCCGCCGGGGCGGAGAGGATGCGGCTGGCGGGGCTGCAGCGCGTCCTCGCCGCGATGGACGAGCACGCGGCGGAGGCGTCCGTGCAGGAGCAGGGCTGCGCGGCGCTGGCGACCCTCGCCGGCGCCAGCGCCGAGGGCGGCGCGCTCGTCCTCGCGAGCGGGGGCGCCCAGGCGGCGCTCCGGGCGATGCGGGAGCACCTCGACGCCGCGCCCGTCCAGGAGCAGGGCTGCGCGGTGCTGACGAACCTCACCGCCCACGCCGGGTGCGGCCCGCTGCCCCCCGGCGGCGTGCAGGGCGTGCTGGCCGCCCTGGAGGCGCACCCGCAGGAGCCCGGGGTGCAGGGCCGCGCCTGCGCGGCGCTGGCGAACCTCGCGGCCGAGAGCAGCCCCGCCGCGGCCGAGGCCCGCTCCCTCGGGGGCGCGGGCCGCGTGGAGAAGGCCCTGGAGGCCCACGCGGGGGCGCCGCGCGTGCAGCAGGCCGCGCGCGCGGCGCTGCGGAACCTGCGGGCGGGCGCGCGCGCGGGGCATTGAGGCCCGGGGGCGGGCCGGCGGCGGCTCCGGGAGGACGGCGGCGTGGGTCCGCCTCGGCGTGGGGGGCCCAGGCATGCCGGCGTCGTGGGAAAGTCCCGACGGACACTTTTGTTGGCCGTTGTCAGCCCCTGGGGGCCTTCGCCGGGCGTCAGGACCGTTCACGAAGCGGGGCTCGGGGGCAAGACCGGAACCTGGCGAAGGGGACCCCGTCCTGCAAGAAACGGGGCACCGCCTGTCTGGGAAGCGACCCTTCGCCAGAGTGACCTTTGGTGCGGGCCCCACTGGCGGTGGCCTTCCCGCGTTGGTCGGCCCCTCCTGCGGCCCCCGGACGCCGCGCGCCGATGGCCCCGCTTGCACAGGGTTACTCCTGCGTGCAGGCGTGAGATGCGCTCCGAGATCTTGCGTGTCCTCCTGCTGCCCTGCGCGGACTACGGCCGGGTGTCGCAAGAAGTCGGTATCGTGTATCCGATCCCCATCCACATCCCCATCCCCATCCCCATCCCCCTTCGAGACCCCCACCACATTACCCCCCCAGTTGGGGATACACCCCTCGAAACCCGAATGGAACGGCCTCTATCCCCATCGAGGGGGGTAAATCGGCCAGCGGGGCCCAGGCCAGGCAGCTGCGGATGGGGATCGGTTCAACGATACTCAAGAAGTGCCGCTGGCCCAAAGTACTCCCAGGACTTCCAGGCAGGCCCCCACGGCCCTCGGAGCACCCCTCGCGAGGCCCAGGGGGTCCCTCGGGCTTCCAAAAGTGCAGCGAAAAGCTGGGGGCACCTTCGGCCAGGGGCACCTCCAGCAACCCCGGATGCAGAGCTCCAAGGCGAGAGGCCGCCGAGTGTTCCGGACTTTCTGAACGTACCCCGCCCTGCCCTCCCAGTGGGGCCTAAAAAATAACACACATCAGGACCTTGAGACCGAAACTCCAGTCGAGGTTTTGAGCAGTCCGGATAGGTCTATAGGTCTGCAGTGCTATTGGTTAGCACTCTGGAAGGGCAAGGAGCGTTCCCTGGGCCAACGCCCCAGTGTTGGCGACGGGGTCCGAGCAGCGTGGCCGCACTTTTTGGTCCGGCCCCGCTATACGGTCGCGCCCACCGCGCGGGGAAGCCACAAGTCGCGCCTCCGCGCGAGCGCGGGTCTCAGACCGGGCATGATGATCCTCCCCCAATCCCTCCTCGGCCTCCTCGTCCTCTTTTTTCGGAGGTTGATAGACCTCCTGCCATGACGCGTCGATTAGCGAATTGGCCGATTGCGGTTCGCGAGAGGGCGTTGCGGCCGTCATGCTTGCGGGTCCAGGTCCTTCGGTTTCGGTCCGAGGCCATTTTCACTAAAGGGTGGTTTACTAAAGGGAGTTTTGTCCACCGCCGATTTTTCTCAGGAGGGATAGATCTGCATGCGCATAAGTTCTCCGACGGTAGGGCCCCATCTGAGGATCTATTTAGCTTGCCCCCCGCACTTTCCTCTTGTCGCCCTGGCGGAGACCCTCCTCCCGCCCTCTGATTTGCCTCCTCTTCCTCCTCGTCCTCGTCGTCCTTCTCCTCGTCTGTATCGCCATCCCCCTTACATTTGTAATCCTCCTCTTCTTGTTCCTTCTCCTCCTCCTCTTCCTCCTCCTCCTCCTCCTCCCCTTCAACCCCCCAGACGCTCCAACCTCCTCCCCTTCAGATGGTTCGAGGGAGTGGCCCGTGAGGGCCTGTGGCATGCCAAGCTTTTGACGCCACGGATTTGCCGAAACGTGTATCAGCTTTTTTCTTGGTTTTTCGATGACCCGCTTCGGATCCCGCGTGGGATTCGAGAATGTAGCGCGGGCCTCCTAGGGAGAGGGTTTCCGCTGCAGACTTCCTCCACATTGAGCGTTGAAGTGCGGGCCCCAAAGGGAGGGTGCTCCCGCTTTAGACTGCCTCCATACTCAGCCCTGAGAAGCGCAAAAGTGGTCGAGAGCACCTCTCGGGACGCTCAGCTTCAATGTTTGCTGGAGTACTCCGATTACCCGCCTGGGATTCGAACTTGAAGGGCGGGCCGCATAGGTACGTGGCTCCTGGGCGAGACTTCTTCGCCATTCACCCGCTGACAAGGCAACCACTCTGAACGTCCTCACGTTTTGCCTTTTCGGTGTGCTCAAGTGATGCGCTCGGTAACACACTGTTATGATACCTTTAGGATTCGTACATTAAAGTTCGGGCTCCATAGGTTGGGGGGGAGCTCCCGATCGAGCTTTTCTCGCCATTCGCTCACAGACGAGGCAACCGCTCCGGATATTCTTGCGGTTTGCACCTTTGCCGTGTTCTAGTGTTGGCTTGGTAGAGTATGCCGATGACCCGCTCGGATGAACATGATGTGCGGGCCCCATGGGGAGGGGGGTCCCGCTTGAGACTTCCTCGGCATCCACTTACAGAGAAGGCCTGCGCTTGACACATTATCACGATTTGCCATCCTGGATGCTCAAATGTTTTGGCTGGTAGAGTGTGCTCATGACCCTGTCGGATTAGTAACACGACCTGCGGGCCCCATAGGGACGGGGTTTTCGCTTGAGACCTCTTCAGTCACATTCGAGGAACCCGCTGGAGACATCCTCACGATTTGCCCCATTGGGGTGCTCCAGTGCTTTTCCTGGCAGAGTATGTCGAAATCCCGCTCGGGTTAGTATTATGAGCTGCGGGCCACATGACGACGGGACTTCCGCCTGAAATGTTTTCTCTGCTCTTTGGTAGAGCATGCCGATGAGGCGCTCGGATTAAGAACATGAGCTGCTCGTCCCATAGGAACGGGGCTCCCGCTTGAGTCGTTTCCTGTACTTTATCACACGCGAGGCATGCGCTCGAGTTACCATGTATATGATTGTGTGAGTGTGTGTGTGTGCGTGAGAACGAATGGTGACTGCAAATACATGGTGTGCTGATGATTGAAGATGGTAGTGCGGCGGTGATGACGATGATGGTGATGGTGATGGCGAGTGTAAGAACATGGCGTGGTGATCATGTGTGTGCGGACATGGTGTGTGAGCGATGATGATGCTGGTGGTTTTGACGTTGAAGACAGTGTTCATGATGGTTCGGATGTTGATGTTGATGCTGATTATGAGGAAAGAAGTACTTGAGTGAATGTAGGTGGTGATGAGCATGATCGAAATTTTGGTTACGATGATGTTGACTTTGGATGACGATGATTCATTATGACGACAACGATTTTGGTATTGACGAAGGTGATTATGTTGATTATGAGGTTGATGATGTATATGGTTATGATGATGGTAATGCTGTTGATGATGATGATGCTGATGATGATGATGATGGTGATGATGATTCTGATGATCATGGTGATGGTGATGGTGAGGAATCGAGGAATCGAGGGGGGGGCATAGGAGATCCTGCGGGGGGGGGTGCAGAGCAAACAAGAAGCCCACAGGGGATGTGTGGAAGCAGACGCTGATCCGTCATTCAGCTACGGGAAACTACGAGGAGTGGAGGGGGAGCGAGTCCTGCATGAAACATGGAAATCCATTGAGGATCCTTGGTTTTGTGTCGATGTGGTTGTGCCTCCCTGGGCCCCTGTCCTCGCCCGCCTCGATGCTCTCTCGCCCTGTCCCCTGCAGCTCCGGCACAGCGTCGGCAAAGGCCAATAGTGTCTTGCTTAAGCGCTGCTGTGTCTGCGCGCGCTCGCTAGAGTAAGTTTTACCGAACATGCAGGCGCGCGAGGTTCTTGGCGAAGGCGGAACGGCACGCGGCCGTGACAGAAGCAGGCGATCCCCAGCCACAAACATGTTGCATCTGATCTGGTTGCCCTAGGATGTCCAGCTGAGTTGCAGCACGTGTGGTCAGATTGAAAATGTACCAGTGTTCGCCGATACGTGCAGTGTTCTCAGATTTTTCGATTTCTGGTGCAGTTATCATTCGCAAAAGCATAAGAAAAAAAAAAAAACATTCATTTCTGACTGTGATTGTGTTCGCCCGACAGGTTCGACATACTTCAGTGCTGGGTGTCGGTGGTAGTTGTTCGAAGTATCAATTTCGATCCTGCGATGTAGGCACTCTGGCAATGGTTGAGGCTCGAATGCCTTCCCCGTTGTGATGACAGCGAGGCGCAATCACGACTTCTCGAGCGAGAACAAAACAACGACGCAAACAAACGGGGTCGTCTGCGCCGACATTGGCGCGTAAGCTGCCCGCGTAAGCTCGCGCGTGGGCGCCCTCATCTCCACTGTGGCGCGCCGCGCGGGCGGCCCGCGTAAGCGATCGCGTCGGGTCGCTACGTCATCTCGCGTAAGGCCCGTTTTCTCATCGTCGCTCAATTGTTCTGAGCTCGACGCGGAGGTGGGGGAGGAGGAAGGGGGAGGAGGAGGGGGAGGCGGAGGGGGAGGGGGGATGGAGGAGGAACGAGGGGAGGAGGAGGAGGAAGGAGGAGGAGGAGAGGAGCCAGGAGGAGGAGGAGGAGAAGGAGGAGTAGAAGGAGGAGGAGGAGGAGGAGGGAGGAGGAGGAGCAGCGATGAGAAGGAGGAGCGAGAGGAGGAGGGAGGAGGAGAAGGAGGAGCGAGGAGGAGGAGGAGGAGGAGGAGAAGGAGGAGGAGGAGGAGGAGGAGGATTGGGAGTTGCAGGAGGAGAAGAAGGAGGAAGAGGAGGAGGAGGAGGAGGAGGAGGAGGAGGAGGAGCGAGGAGAAAGCGATCCTCGAGCCTCGATCTTCGAATCTCGATCTTCGAACCTGGAACGTCGAGGGTATGCGTGGCCTCCCGGGGCAGGGCAGCGGCGGGCCCTCGAAGGGGTGCTCGACGCAGTGCTACACCGTGCCGTGGTGGCCGGCCAGGCGGCCAACAGGGCATTTCGCGGTGCACGGGCGTTCCAGCATTCCGCGGCGAGCGAGGGGGGGAATCAAGCAGTGCGGGCAAGACTTGTATCCATATCCATTGCGTCTTGAACCTTTTTGGGAGAAGCGCCTCAAGGCCGAGGCGCACTGGATATGGATAAACACCTAGCCTCTACGGTGGGCAAAATTATCCATATACAGTGTGCCTCGGGTTTCTGGGGAAGGGAGCCCGAAACTCCATACTGCAGTGGATATGGACAGAAGCATTGCCTGCAAAGCAGTGGCGAAGCGTCCCGGCTCGCCTATAGCCCCACCGAGCAACGTTCTGGGAACCTTCTGCGTGGTTCCCAAGAAATGTTCTTGGAACATTTCTGGCTGGGACTGTCTCGTTTTCATATACATCGGGTTTATGTTCTAAGAACATTGTTTTTGTTCTTAGAACATTGTCGGGTTCCAAGAACATTTCGTGGTATGACTATAGGAATGCCGGGACGGTCGGTCCCTGCTCAAGGGAAGTGAGAAGGAGAAGACCTTCTCAGAAGGCGGCGGGACCTCTCGGAAGCCTTCGCGCATTCCGATAAGCTGTTTATGTCTTCGGGGAAGTTTTGGAACAGTTCCCAGAAGGCCAGGTGACTTCCGAGTCTTCTGCGAAGGCCTTCTCCTTCTCGTTTCCCTCCCTCGCTCGCCGCCGAAGTACCCCACAAGGTGGGAAAGTGAGGCGTCTGTACACCGAGCCCCTTGGCCGACCCGATGGCGCATACATCGAGCCCATTCCCAGGCCCAGGCTCAAGACGCCGCGTTTTTTTCCGTGAGCGTGGACCCTCAAACGTCTCGACACATTCCCCAACACTAGCTGGAGGAGGAGAATGAGGAGGAGGAGGTGGAGGGAGGTGGAGGGAGGTGGAGGAGAAGGGGGAAGAGGAGGAGGAGGATGAGGAGGAGGAGGAACGAGAAACGAGGAGGAGGAGGAGGCGGAGGAGGAAGAATGAGAAGGAGGAGGAGGAGGAGGAGGAGGAGGAGGAGGAGGTGGAGGAGCCAGGAGGGAAGGCGCGAGGAGGAAGAGGAGGAGGGAGGAGGGGAGGAGGGACGAGGAGGAAGCCAGAGGAAAAGGAAGGAGGAGAATGAGGAGGAGGAGAGGACGCGAGGAGGGAAGGAGGAGGAGGAGGAGGAGGAGGAGGAGGAAGGAGAGGAGGCGAGGAGGAGGAGGAGGGGAGGAAATGAGGACGAGGAAGGAGGAGGAGGAGGAGGGGGAGGAGGGCGGGAGGAGGGGAGGGGAGGAGAGGGAGGAGGGGGAGGAGGAGAGGAGGAGGGAGGAGGGGGGGGAGGAGGGAGAGATGAATCAAGGAGCGGGCGGGATAAGGAGCGTCCTCCTCTTCCTCCTTCTCCTCCTCCTCTCCTCCCTCCCATCCTCCTCCTCCTCCTCTCTCTCCTGCCATCCTCCTCCTCCCTCCCTCCTCCTCCTCCTCCTCCTCCTCCTCCTCCTCCTCCTCCTCCTCCCCCTCCTCTTCCTCCTCCCCCTCCCCCCAGAAGCACGATGACCGCGACCAAGACGTCGCGGGATTTTGTCGACGCCGATCGTAGTCATGGTTCACACTGGCCGTCGCCGAGTCGCGAGGAGGATCCACGAACTGACAATTGCCAGGATGGACGGTGACCCAGACCAACACCGACGTTTCCACGGTCGATCTTGGTCATGATCCTCGTCCTGCTTCAATGTGCGACCCCAGAGTTTCGACTACACGTAAGAGTGACCCTTCGCCGGAGTGACCTTTGGTGTGGGCTCATCGGGGTCCGCCCGATCGCCAAGCGCGATGCGACAGCAGCTGATTGCGCGCTTGGATTTGACCACCTTGCGCCCCCTTAAGCCGCGCACCAAAGGTCACTCTTACCCAGGGTCATTCGGCTGTGTATCTAGGCCTTCTAGACGGGGTCCAAGCAGATGGGGTCGGAGGATCGCGCCGCATCGCCGATGCATCGGCGATGCATCGGCGATGCGGCTCGACGTGGGGCCCGATTTTCTCCACGCCGACGTCGCCGATGCATCGCCGACGCCGCCAGCGCATCGGCGATGATGCGGCGCGATCCTCCGACCCCATCTGCTCGGACCCCATCTGCTCCGACCCCATCTGCTCGGACCCCATCTGCTCGGACCCCATCTGCTCGGACCCCATCCAGGGGCTCGAGCCTTGGCTCAACGAGTTCAGGTCGAGCCGTGCCCGCACCCCCCTCTCGCAGAGCTGCGCTCGAGATGTGGGCGCCGGCCCTGCTCCTCCCGCTCCTCGCCGCGCCGGCCCTTGCGGGCGGCAGCGGCGGCGCGGGGGCCGCCTGCGCCGAGGGCGAGGAGGAGGAGGCGCACGCCCTGCTGCAGACTGCCGGGCAGAGCGGTGGAGCCGGCGCAGACGTGGCTGCCATTGGCGACCCCCACCTTCAGAACGTTTCTGGCCAGCGGTTGGGCTGGATGAAACCAGGAAAGCATGATCTGATTACCACGAACGCCCACGGCATTGTCGATTACGAGTCAAAGCAACCGAACCGCAGTCTTTTGTCCGTACCGTGTCGTGGCCCCAGCTCTGTCTACAATGATAATTGCTGTTTGGGAGATAACTTCAGGGACAAATGTGAAGCATGCATGTGCGCCGGCGATGACGCGACATTGTGGTGCAACCGCGACCAGGACCCGTTCCCAGGCTGCAATCACGACGTCCAGTGTGGTACAAGCAGCGGGTGCTTCAAATTATTGCCTTTTGGTTCACCATGTGCGGAGAGCTTGCAGTGCGAACACCCAGGCTGGTGCCCAAACGGCAAATGCAGCAGAGTCTTGCATGGTTAGTCGCTTCCTCTCGTCTTGCAATGTCTGCTCTCTGCAGCGCGGCATTCAGTGCAGCTTACCTTTCGTCTGTAACCTTCGTTTCGGATGCATCATCTTATGATAGCATAGCATTCAGTGCAGCTTACCTGACGGTTGCCCTACTTTCAGATGCAAGTGACCGGGCTCCGGCCCGCCCGCGCCGCCCCTAAGGGGCCTGCCGGCCCGCCGGCCGGCGGACTCGCGCGTCTGCGTCTGCGTTCCCCCTCCTGCCTGCCTGCCCTCCTCCTCCTGCCTGCAACGTCCTTCCTGCCTGCCCTCCTCCTGCAACGTCCTTCCTGCCTGCCCTCCTCCTCCTCCTCCTCCTCCTCCTCCTCCTCCTCCTTCCACATGAAGACCTGGTCAGCTCCCCGCCAGGCGTTTTCCCACAATTGGGGAAGCACGCGAGACCTTCTGAGAGTTATCGGTTAAACTCTCACCACAGTTTTGAAGACCTGGTCAGCTCCCCGCCAGGCGTTGTTCCGCAATCGGGGAAGCATGCGAGACCTTCTGAGAGTTATCGGTTAAATTCTCTGCCTTCGTGAACAAAAAAATCTAGGAGGCCTCTAGTGTAGCCGAGAGTTCCCGACCACCTCCCACTGGAGCCGCTTTTGGATGGCCCAAGGGACCCTGTGGCGGGCCCCAGGGGCCGAGGTCGAGGACACTTTTTTGTCAGGGCGAAGGCGTGGTTTGGTCAGCGGCGAGGGCGAGCGCCAACGTGGCCAAACAGCCAAAGAGACCGAAGGCGCGGTGATCGTTTTCTTATTCGTTGTTCTGCCGATCGGCGCGGGCCCTGGCCCCCCCCCCCCCGGAGCAGATCTTGGCTGTTTTTGGCGCCTGTTTCGGGCAGGTGGAGCCTTCCCCACAGGACGCACTGCCGCGAACAGTCGCACTGAGCAGAGCTCCGGAGCCAGACCCCCTCTCCCCCCCCCTTTCGCCCGATGTCGAGACGCCAAATAAAAAACATTCACACGCGCCCGGATCGAAAGAAGCACGCCCTCGGAGGTCCGGGAGCGCGCCACGGCCCTCGGGCTCTCCGCGTCGAGGCCGCCCCGCGGCGGCGCCAGGCGGTGCCGAGAGGGTCTCGGAGGCCGCTCATGCGTGGCCGCGGGCCGGCCCGCCGCGGGCGGAGAGGCGCCGTGCGTGGTCCTGACGGCTCGGGCCCTGGCCTCCAAGCCTCCAGGCTTGCAGACGCTGGTTTCTGCCAACGTTCCATGGCGCCAGCATCGCAGAGCGGATTTCGTTTGGAAAACGACAGGATGGACCCGGAGTGTCCTGGAGAATGTCGTTCCGGATTTCGAGGGGAATTTCGTGCGGATCTTTCTTGGCCAGGAACGATAACCAAAAAGAACCCACGCGAAATTCACTTCGTTTTTCGCTCGCCGTTTCGGGCAACAATCCACGAAGAAATCCATGCAGAAATCCGCTGCAAAACGTCTGCAAGGTCGGTGCAATGAAACGTTTTCCTGGTGCGGAAGCAGAGCGCACCTCCACCCCGACCTGGCCCCCCCCCTCCCCTGGGAGCCCCCTGGGCCAGGGCCGGGGAGCTTCGAGATCCGACTGTGAGGCTGTTCTGCAAATCTAGGAAAGAGCGTGTTCTACCGCTGCTAGCGGAAAACCGGGGGGGTCGAGGAGGAGGAGGAGGAGGAGGAGGAGGAAGAGGAGGAGGAAAATTGCGATCCTCGAGCCTCGATCTTCGAACCTCGAACGTCGGCTTCGAGCCCCTCCCCGACGCGGCGGCGCGGACCCGCCGGGGGCGGGGAGCTACCTCGCCAGGCCCGCGCCGCCCTTGCCCCGTCGCCGTCGTTCATGTCGTCGAGGTCGTCAGGATCGTCAAGGTCGACTGTGTCGGTCAGGATCGTCAAGGTCGGCTGGGTCGTCGTTGTCTTCGTCGTCGTCTTCGTCGTCGTCGTCGGGTCGTCGTCGTCGTCGTCGTCGTCGTCGTCGTCGTCGTCGTCGTCGTCGTCGTCGTCGTCGTCGTCGTCTTCGTCTTCGTCGTCGTCGTTGTCGTCGTCGTCGTCGTCGTCGTCGTCGTCGTCGTCGTCGTCAAGCGGCGATTCGGTCCCCTTGGGGCGGGGCGCGCCATCGCAGGGTTTGTTTCGTCTCCTCCGGCTCGATTCAAGTCCATCGATGCCAATTCCGATTCGATGCGCCTTCGGGTTCCGACTTGGACTTCGGCTTCTCAATGTAGGCGTTCCTTGCCGGCCGATTCCCGCCGATCCGATTCCTTCAGCAGCGCTGCCGCGCGACTCCGCCACCGCGCTCGGGCGGGTGGGGAGGGGGGCGCCTTGGGGGGAGGGAGTGAGGGTTCATGGACCCCCCTTTTGCTAAGCCTTGGAGTAAGTGGGGCCACTGTCTGTTTGGAAAAGCCGAGGACGCCTTGGACTTGGTCACAGCACGGAACGCAGCTTGGGCTCGACGCGTCGGGGGGGGGCCGGGTGCGGCTCCGCCGAGCGCGGGAGGGGCCCGGCGCACGCCAACGGCTGCAAGCGCGGTGGCAGGCTTCGATCGCCGAGATCCGACTTGTCGATTCGGTTCAGGGCCCCCCCTGCCAGACTCTGCCCGAGGGGCCCCCAGGCTTTCCAGGGAGGCCCCCACGGCCTCCAGAGCACCGAAGCCAAGGGGGCCCCTGGGGCTCCAGAGCGGAGCGAAAAGGCGGGGGCACCTTGGGCCAGGGGCACCTTCAGCAACCTCCGACACCTGTCTCTCCACAGCGATCCGCCCTCGGACGCCCCTCGAGGCCTTGGTGGGCGGGGTGCGGAGGAGGCCGAAGGCGATGAACAGCCCCCATCTCCCCCAAGAGGCCCCCCACCCTTGCATCACCGTGGTGAGCACGGGCGCGCGCCCTTCTATCCAGAAGCGCCGCTGCGACGCTCGCGTGACAGCATCCTGATCCGCCTCGTGGCCCTGCCGGCGCGGAAACAAACGCGTTTCCGTCAGCGAGGGCAGGGTGGGGCACGCCGCTGCGGTGCAGCTTGGCCTTGCATCTTCGTAAAGCTGGGCGCACCGTGGGCCAGGTGCCCTCGGATTCCGAGGCGGCCGATTTCGCCCGTGCTGCGCATCTTCCAGCTGACCACCCGCGCAGTGCGGGGCTCGTCGATGATTGCGAACGGAGCTCTCGGGGACGCTCGGTCTTCTCCCCATCCTCGTCCTCCTCATCCTCCTCACTCCTCGCTTCTCCTCCTGATTATCCTCCTCCTCGCTCCTCTACCTCCTCCTCCTTCTCCTCCTTCTCCTCCTCATCCTCCTACTCGCTCCTTCATATTCCTCGCTCCTCCTCCTCCTCCTACTCCTCCTCCTCCTCGTCCTCGCTCATCGCTCCTCGATCCCCCTCCTCGCTCCTCCTCCTCTCCTCCTCCTCCTCCTCCCCCTCCTCCTCCTCTCCTCCTCCTCTCCTCCTCCTCCTCCTCCTCCTCCTCCTCCTCCGCCTCCTCCTCCTCCTCCTCCTCCTCCTCCTCCTCCTCCTCCTTCCCCTCCTCCTCCCCTCCTCCTCCTCCTCCTCCTCCTCCCTCCTCCTCCTCCTCCTCCTCCTCCTCCTCCTCCTCCTCCTCCTCCTCCTCCTCCTCCTCCTCCTCCTGACTCCTCCTCCTCCTCCTCCTCCTCCTCCTCCTCCTCCTCCTCCTCCTCCTCCTCCTCCTCCTCCCTCCTCCTCCCTCCTCCTCCTCCTCATCCGTAGCCGCTGTTGCTCAAGCCGCCTCATGGCGCCGGATGCGGGGTGTACGCTTGGAGTGGTTGCGGACTCGCCCTGGGAGTGTGGCGAGCCAGTGTGGAAAGCGCGGTTGCTGCACGGCGGCAGCGGCGTGCGAGGGCCGTCGACTCGGCCGACAACCTCGTCAAGAGGCTCGTGAAGGATAATCGCGTCTTGCAGGAACAGCTAGAGGAGCTCCAGGCGATCGTCGGTGACGACTCCGAGCTGTCGGTGCGGCTCCTGCTTGTGGCCCCTGTGCTCGCGGCGGCGATTGCGGGAAGAGCGCCGAGCAAGCTGCAGATTGCGCGGCGGAGCACGGCCTCGCATTGTTTCCACGTCCAGGCCAGCGTTTTGTAGGTAGCGTCTCAAGCTGGACTGAACTGCATCCAGCGGCAGCCGGATAAGTTGGAAACGGTTCAACAGGTGGAAACCACGGAGCAGGTCAAGGCGGCAGATGCTGTGCTGCCTTCGGAGGAAGAGCTGGACTCGGAAGTGCAGGTCGTCGATATTGCCCCGCCTTGGTGCGTCATGCTGTGCTTTTGCGGCGCCACTGTCTTCCAGAGCGCGGCGACCGTGGAGACGGGTCAGGCCGAGATCGAGACGGCGGCGCCTTGGGCGCCGAATCCGGCGGCTCCGCCTTTCACCCTTCTCGAGGCCATGCACGCGCAGACCATGAGCTTCGGCATGCGCTCGCGGTCGCGCGGGCAGCCTTGCGTGCGGCGCCGTGCGAAGCTGGACGAAGCGTTCCGCTGCCAGCGTTGGGAGGCGAGCGCCGAGCGGGCTCGCTTGCTTGCCGACGCTGGCGCCATGCGAGGCGGCGCGGCGTCTGGCGACATCGGGCCCCCGCGGGGGATGACTGCCCAGCGGGTCGCGGTGCCGTCGGGGCTGACGGACGTCCACATGCTGTTCCTCGAGCTCGGGGCGGCGACGGCGGCCGCAGTGACGGGGCAGGCTACTCCATCGACGGCAGCTGCAGCAGCGCGTCCCCGGAATCGCGATTGCAAGCGGATGTGATGCAACTTGGCCAAAGGCGTACAAGCTGGAGGGTATCACCACTCTTTGTCGGCAGTGCTGGAACGATCCACGTTTTGTCACATGTGGATTGGAATAGTTGCCCCACGGAGGTTTGCGCTAACAGTTCGCTTTCTCCGCCGTGGAGCTCGGAACAGAGTATGTTGTCCCCCGCTTTCCTGCTCTTCGTCGCGTATGGCGTCAATGTCGACGCGCTCGGCTTCGAGGTCAGGGGCGGGGCACGAGATATGGATGTGACATCGTCATTGTTCTCACTCTCACCCCCTCCTCCTCCTCCTCCTCCTCCTCCTCCTCCTCCTCCTCCTCCTCCTCCTCCTCCTCCTCCTCTCCTCTCCTCCTCCTCCTCCTCCCTCCTCCTCCTCCTCCTCCCTCCTCCTCCTCATTCCCTCTCGCTTGCAGCCCCCAGCTCCAGGGGCCGCGCCCCCGCCCACCCACCCGCGGCGGCAGGCGGAACCCGCCGCGCTGCTGCTGCGCTGCCCGCTGTGCCGGGCGGAGGGCCCCGCGGCGCCGCAGGCGCCCCCAAGGGGGGGGGGGTCCGCGCTTGCGCGGAGGTCGGGCGTTGCGCACCGGGGGGAGCTGACTCACAGAAGGCATGGCGGCAGCAACGACAGATCCTGGAGTCACATGGCAATCACTGGCTTAAGGTGGGGAAGCATGGAGCACATGACATGCGACGTGGGAGCATTCCAGTGCTTCCCTGAAGGCTACGGCTCCTCTCGTCCCGCCCACATGGGCGCGGCTTTGCCCCGGGGTAGAGCCGGATGCACGCTCGCTCGCTCGCTTGCTCGCTCGCTAGCTTGCCCACTTGGGTTAAGTCGGGCATGTCCTTCTACAGGAGGCACATTCAAAATGAACAAGAAATAGTTTGGGGACGATTCGGGATTTTTGTTGTGCGAATATGTTTGAGTATTTGTTTGCCTATTTGTAATTTTTCTTCCCGAATCCGCCTGTAGGAGGACATGCCCGGCGTAACGCTGGAGGGAGGGGCGGTCACCCTGTCCTTCCAGGACGGCCTGCGCGGAGGTCGGGCGCTGCGCACTTGGTGGGGGGGGCGACCACCCTGACCTTCCAGGTGTCGAAGGAGAAAAGTGCAGTAAACAGAAGCAGTCGTCACTCCCAGCGGATTTCTCGGATCTTCGCTGGCGCCTCCGGCGCCGTCCCTGGCGCTCTCCGCCAGGGAGGGGTTTCCAGCGCAGGTCCAAGAAATCTGGGCGGAACGCCAAAAGTTTATGTTTCTGGCATTTGTGTTCTTCTAAGAAGAATTCAACATATCATCGAGGATGAAACAACCCGCAGCCCTAAGACCAGAGTGAGGCCAGGGCCTCCTTTAGGTCCCCGTCCTGTCATCAGGGATAAGAGATCGGGGTGGTTGGGTCTGACACATCATCTGCAGAAGAGACTCCCTATCCCTAATGTTACTTGTTACTGGCCTTCCTAACCGAGGTCCCCTCCCAAAGGGTAAGGGGTCAGTGCATTGCTTCTTCAAGTAGCACCACGACCTGGATGCCGAAATTCCAGTCGAGGCCTTAGTAGTCCAGATAGGGCTGTAGGTCAGCAGTATGTTTTTCAACATTCTGGAAGGTCAGGGACGACTTGGGGCTGACAGGTTCACCCTGTGTGCCCCAGAAGAGCCCCCTGGGGCCCAAGAGGGGCACGAAGGGTGCATCGCTCTCCCGCCCCCGCACGCATCGCCCCGCCACGCCCGAAGAGGGTCACCCGCGGGCTTCCTGCTCGTTGGTGTTGTTCGCCGTGAGACACCGACGAGTAGGAAGCGCGCCCAGGGCGTTCCAGGGGTGCCCGGATCTTCCCGAACGACCAGCGCAGACCTTGAGGTATGTTCTGCAATTGAACCGGAGAGTTCTATTAGGGCAGCTTCATGATGGCTTGCGCGAAATAGTCGTGCAGCTTTTGTGGCCGGGACCAGTCTTGCTTCAACGCATCGGTGCTATATCCTCGAAGGAAGTCCTTTTCTGCTGTTGGTGTATTCTTGCGCATTCCGTGGTATGCCAAAAGGAATGCCGGAACGGTCAGCCCCTGGTCAGAAGACATGCAATGACACGGTTTCACGCAGTCGATCGGACCAAATCGCGGTGGCAGGGCGCCAGGAATGTTGGGAGTTGCTGAATCTATTTCTCATGGCCTCCCTACGTATGTTGTTTCCGCTTCCGACGGAACTGCCTGGAGCGGGGGAATCCTTTGCGACCATGTTCTTGAATTGATGTATGTCTGTTGCAGAGGGGGGATTGGCAGGAATGAGCGATTTTGTGGCTACTGCTGTCTGCTTCCGCAGTCAAAAGCTCCCCAAACAGGCCGCACCACCATTTCGTAATCTGCATGGTGGTTGGCCAGTCATGCAGTCGTCCATGCAGCCCGCCTTTCCCGCTGGTGGTCAGGGATTGGTCATTGTGGTCAGGGATTTGTGTGTTGCATATTTGGAGGAGGAGGAGGAGGACGGCGTTTACCGCTCCTACTAATGTTGCTTTCCTAGAGGCTCCAACTCCTAGGTAGGGTCGCACTGGGATAATTCCAATTTTTCGCCCCAAATCCCCCTGTAGGGGACACGCCCGAGCTAACCCTTGCCTAAGGTCACTCGTGCGTGCAGCCGAGCGCAGGCAGCAGGAGTCGGCCCTGGTGCGACCACGCCTCACCCTTCCTGGGAGCAGTTGAGCGGGGCGTTCCTGGGGCTTCCCGAAGGCCCAGGGGGTGCTCTCGAATCGCCGCCCTCCGTCGATCCCGGCACAGGGATGCCAAGATTGTCCCCAGCGCCCTCCTGGGGCCCACGCTGGACGGCCCCCGAGAGGAGCCCAGCGGAGGGACGCAACGGGTGCTGGCCCAGTCCCTTCTGGCGGACCCCCGGTTTGGGAGCCACCCCCCTCCCCTCCCTCTGCTGATCCGCGATTGGAAGCGGCGACCGAGGTTCGGTTAGGGGAACAGACGTGGCCGAGCCGGGTCAGGTTCGGTTTTGGGTGCGCCATGTTAGTGTTGGCGCGGGTCAGCTTGTCCCCGAGGAGGATCGAGTCGAGGAGGATCGAGGAGCGAGCATCGAGCATCATGGTTGGAGGAATGCAGATCGAAGCAGGGAAGTCACGAGGATCGAACTTTCAAGTTTTTGTGAGTATCGGTGGCGTTTGTGCGCAGGGAGCGAGGGCAGTTCGTGGACGGATGCTCACGGTTTTCGCGGTCGTTACTTTTTCAGACCGCGGAGCCGTTTGAGATCGATCGGGTATGGACATCTGGTCAGGATAAACACCGGGAGGCGTCCTGTTGGATTGGTGATGAAAAGATTTCGCCGCCGGGAGATTATCGGAGATTAAGGGTAAGTCTACCCTATTGTGTTGGGTATTCGTTTTGGTCAGAGCATTGCTGTTCCTCTCCTTGAAGTGCAGATGCCACCGTGCGGACCATGGATCGTGTATATGTCTATGTGTTTTTTTCTTCCTCGAGACCTCCTCCTTCGCCGCTTCGCTTGGGCAGTATAGAGGTGATGCGATGCCATCGGACGCCCACAGAATACACCTCCTCTGCGGCCACCTCCAGACTCCAGTTTCCCACAGGGCCCCCTCTCAGTGGGAAGTCGCTGATACAAGTTACTGAGACCAAAAGGTTCCCTTCGTCTCGCAGCTCGGAAGAACCTACGGTCCGATACGGTGGGGCCGTTCGTCACAGAATGTGCCCAGGAGGCCTCAGACCGTGGATGATTCCTCACCTGATGAGGGCGGCGGCGATGATGGGCCAACTTTCCACCACCTTTACCACGGGTAGCACAGGGGGGAAGGGAGAACGGGGAGGTCCTCCTCCTCCTCCCCCTCCTCCTCCTCCTCCTCCTCATCCTCATCCTCATCCCCCCCTCTCCCACAAGTAGTAGCGGTGGTAGAAAACCGGCCCATGAGGCGATATCCATGGCCAAGCCTCAACTGGCGTTCTACTGGCTTCCAGACCCCGGATCCTCTATCCCAGCGCGCAGGAGAAAGTGTGTTACCCTCTGGGCCTAACGTAACGCTCCCCCCCAGCACTGCCGCAGTGAGTCCAGCACCACAGTCTGGGGGGTGGTCGCCAGGTTATGCCCCCTCCCGCCCCCCCCCCCCATAACGCCCATTAGGGCCGCGAGTAAAAAGATTGGTTCCTGGCGTTCCAGTGGCTTCTAGACCCAGACCCCGACGTCATGATTCTTCACGTCGACCCCCAGAGGTCTCGACCCATTCCCCTGGACCGGTTTTTCATCCTGAGTCGTTGTTTGACGCTCCCGAGGCCGAATATATAGTGAAAGGGCCCCCGGAGGCCGAATATATAGTGAAAAGCCTCCCGTCAGGCTTTCTTCATTACGCGAGGGGGCCAGGGGACCCTGGATCCCTTCTCCCCGCGCGCAGTCCTCTGCTCTGCTCCCGCGCGGGCCGCGCCTGCGTCACCCCACGTTGGATCCAGAGGGCCCCCCTCGTCACCCCATGTTACCACACGCCCCCTCCTGCTGCTCCTCCTCCTCCTCCTCCTCCTGCTCCCCCTCCTCCTCCTCTCCCCCGCTCCGCGGGCCCTGCCTCCCGCGCGGGCCGCCGCTCCCCCCCGCGGGTATACGCCGGCCGCCAGGCCCTGCGCCTGGACACCCTGCTCGGGCGCCTCGGCCGACGCCTCTCCCCGCAGGCCCGGCCCTTGCGACGCGGTCTCGCGACAACCGACGACCAGCGACCGGTGCCGGCGGCGACGCACGGCGACGGCGTCCAGGGGCAGCACTACCCTGACCTTCCAGGAGGGCAAACGAAAATAGCACCTGGGCCTAGATACCCAGAGTCCAGTCGAGGTTTTTGAGCAGCCCAGATAGGTCTATATATATATATATATATATATATATATATATGTAGGTCTGGAGTCCTCTTTTGTAGCGCTCTGGAAGGTCAGGGTACGGGGGGGGACCGGCTCAGAGGGGGATGCGTCGACCCCCGATCGCCCATAGATCGTTAATCTGGCTCTGATAGCCCGCCCCGCCCAGCACCTTCCGGATTCGCTGTTGGGGGCCTGCCGCCGATCTATCGGCGACGTACAGGGCCGCCTCAGGCTCGACGCTGGCCCCCCTGAGCTGGTCCTCCCCTGCCGTTGCCCCTCACCGCACGGCGCCGGCGCACGCTGGCGACGATGGCGGCAAGGACCGGCGGCGGGCGAACCCTGAGATCCTGGCGTTGTTTTTTTCACACTGGGCGCTTTCGCCGGGTTTCGCGCCCCGGGGGCTACCTCGGGGGCGGCAAAGAGGTGGGTGATGACTAGGGGGGGTGGATATCATGGCGGGGGCCATGATATTTCCCCAGATTTCATGGCGCCTCTTCGTATTTCACTACGTTCCTGGCCCCCCCGCTGGGCCGCGCACATGCCGCCGGTCATGATTTGCACCCCCCCCTTTTGGACACCCCCCTCTTTGCCGCTCCCGACTACCACAAATAGACCCGGCTCGGAGAGTGCGGCGTCGTGAAGATGGGGCGTGGGGCTCCGGTCGCAACTTTGCCGCAACGCAGGAACTCAGGGGCGACGACGGCGGCAACGGCCAGCAACGGATGACGGGCGGCCGCGACGGCGTCGAACGGTTGCGGACGACGACGGGCGACGACGACGCTGACGACAACGATGACGACGACGACGACGACGACGACGACGACGACGACGACGACGGCGGCGGCGGCGGTGACGACGACGACGACGACGACGACGACGACGACGACGACGACGACGACGACGACGACGACGACGACGTCACGACGACGGTCGGCGAAGGACGACAATGGCGGAAGATTGCGACGACGCCGATGGGATGGCGCGGCGCCGACCCGCGGCGGTGGCGAATCTGAGACGTTTTCGACTTCGTGGTCCAGCGTGAAGAGAGGGAGAGATCGAACCCATGGCTCCATGTGTTCGGGCGTGCCCCCGTCACCTGGGGAACTGCAGAGGAGCAGGCAGACGTGGTACCTCGAGGGTGCTGCAAGCTGCCTGACCCAACATCCTGGAGGCAGCGATGCCTCACAGTGAGGTGGGAGAGTGAGTTGGGCGACGAAGCCTCAGGGAGAATCGTAGGCAAGTGGGCCATTCCGGAACGCTGGTCCCAAGATCAGGCACGACATAGTCCTCGTAAGCCCAGCCGCTACAAGTCATCTCACGTTGCATACTCGGGAGGTCGTGTCTGTTTTGTAAGTTGCCGTTTTTGTGTCAGACGCGGCTTTGACGCAGATTCGATGTGGATTGGGGTTGATTTGGCGCGGATAACGGCGCTGTGAAACAGATCGGAGATTGGGGGGTGAGATCGCAGTGGAACGGATACCCTCAAACGGGAAATCGTTTCGTTTCGTTCGTGTCGTGCGTGCGGGCGAGGCGAAGCTGCGTGGGCGCGCGCGAGGAATGAACCCGCCGTGTTAGGGCGAAGTCAAGACAAGTGATTCTCCCCCGCCCGCCCGCCCGTCTGGCGGTGGCTCGCGGTGTCCTGCGGTGTCCCGCGGTGTTCCGTGGTGTCCCGTGGACTCCTGTGGTGTCCCGTTGAGTGAGATCGACAGTGAGATCGATAGTGAGATCGATACTGAGATCGACAGGTGCCCCGTGGTGCCCCATGATGTCCCAAAAAGTGAGATCGATAGTGAGATCGACAGGTGTCCCGTGGTGTCCCGTTAAGTGAGATCGATAGTGAGATCGATCGTGAGATCGATATTGAGATCGATGTGGTGTCCCGAGGTGCCCCGAGGTATCCCGTGGTGTCCCGTAGTGTCCCGTTAAGTGAGATCGATATTGAGATCGATAGTGAGATCGACAGGTGTCCCGTGGTGTCCCGTGGTGTCCCGTCAAGTGATATCGTTAGTGAGATCGATATTGAGATCGATAGTGAGATCGACAGGTGTCCCGAGGTGTCCCGTGGTGTCCCATGGTGTCCTGTTGAGTGAGATCGATCGTGAGATCGATAGTGAGACCGATAGTGAGATCGAGAGGTGTCCGGCGGTGTCCCGTGGTGTACCGGGGTGTCCCGTGGTGTCCCGTGGTGTCCCGTTGGGTGAGATCGATAGTGAGATCGTGTTCGTCTGATGTTGCTTCCCCCCCCCCACAACCTCCTCATCACCCGAAGGGTGGTCGGATAGGTCAGGTCTCCCCGATATCCAGTGTGGGCTACTGTAGGCCAGGGTGGGCGCGATTGCACAGGCCTGCGCTGTGTGCGGGAGCGGGTGTGCTTCCCGCCGAGCGCCCGCGCAGGGAGAGGCGCTCTTCACCAAGGACCTGGCTCAGACGGACTCCGAGGTGCAAAGCTTCACCGCAGTGGCGCGCCCCCCCTGCCTTCGCTGACGGAAGCGCGTGGGCTCCCGCACCGGCAGGGCCCCGAGGCGGACCAGGATGCCGTCACGCGCGCGCGCCGCAGCGGCGCTTCTGGATAAGAGGGTGCACGCTCGTGCTCACCATGAGGATGCAGGTGTCGGGTGGGCGTCTGGGGGGAAATGGGGGCCCCGAGGCTGTTCATCGCCTTCGGCCTCCTCTTGGCCCCTCACCCAGGCGCAAGGGTCCTCAAAGAGTGGATCGTGATGGACAGACATGTGTCCGAGGTTGCTGACGGTGTCCCCGGCCCAAGGAGCCTCCAGCTTCTCGACCCAGGCTGAGGTCCCTGGGGCCCTCTGGGCCCTTTTGAGGGGTGCTCTGGAGGGCGCTGGGGGGCGTCCCTGGAGGGCCAGCTGGGGCACTTCTGGCAAGGGCCACTTCTGGCAACATTCGAGGGTGGTGCAGGGCCGGGGGGACGCCCCATCGGGGTCTCATCATCGGCGGGGCCATCCCGACCCCGACAGGGACAGGCCCCGGCCCCCCTCGAGTCGAGAATCTGGGATCGCGGCGGGCGGTCTGCTCGCCGGTCTCGGCCTTTAGGGGGGGGGCGTTGCCGGGCCTCGGGGCCGTGACAAAGACCACTCGGGTTGGAGAGCTGGTCGTAGGGAAGTGGTGGTCGGGAGGTCGGGGGTCCGCGTCTCGAGACGCTGGATGTCAGTGGAAGTTATTGGCCTTTCCATCGTCTGCAGACGGGGATAGTGCTGCAAAGCCCGCAAAACCACGGCCCCCCTTCCCACCTAAAGGGGGTTGGACCAGCCAGCGGGGCCAGGCTTCTCGAGTGGGGGTGGGGGTGGCCCAGTCGCAAGTCCTGGGAGGTCGACTGCAGCATCGGCGCTTGCATACCCGCGGTCGAATTCGCCCGACCATTGATTTTTTCCCTAACAGAAATAATTCGCTGAGCAATTAATGCTGTAGCTGTACTGTAGGGTGCTACAGTAAATAATTCGCTGAGCAATTAATGCTGTAGCTGTAGCTGTAGCTGCGACGAAGCTTTCGCGCGGCGTTTTTTCTGTTTTTTTACGACGCCGGGAGGTCTGGGCCAGGAAGGAAAAAGGAGTTAGAAAGGAATTTGATAAGGGATTTCAAAAGTTAGAAAAATCAGTTTTTTTCGATACATTTGTTTTTTTACGACGCCAGGAGGTCTGGGCCGGGGAAGAAAAAGAAGTTAGAAAGGAATTTGATAAGGAATTTCAAGAGTTAGAAAGGAATTGCGTTGTTGGGGTCGTTTTTTGTTTTTTGAAACGACGCCGAGATGTCTGGGCCAGGAAGGAAAAAAAGGAGTTAGAAAGGAAATTGATAAGGAATTTCCAGAGTTAGAAGGGAATTTCGTTTTGGGTGTTGTTCTTAAACAAAAACGAAACGACGCCGGGAGGTCTGGGCCAGGAAGAAAAAAGGAGTTAGAAATGAATTTAATAAGGAATTTCAAGAGTTAGAAAGGAATTTCGTTTTTGGTGGTGTTTTTTTTTGTTTTGTTTTTTACGACGCCGAGAGGTCAGGGCCAGGAAGGAAAAAAGGAGTTAGAAAGGAATTTAATAAAGGAATTCCAAGAGTTAGAAAGGAATTTCGTTTTTGGTGGTGTTTTTTTTTGTTTTGTTTTTTACGACGCCGAGAGGTCTGGGCCAGGAAGGAAAAGGAATTAGAAAGGAATTGAATGAGGATTTCCAAGAGTTAGAAAGGAATTTCGTTTTTTTGGATTTTTTTTTACGACGCCGAGAGGTCTGGGCCAGGAAGGAAACATGAATTAGAAGAGGATTTAATAAGGAATTTCAAGAGTTAGAAAGGAATTTCGTTTTTTGGGGCTGTGTTTTTGTTTACGCGCCGAGAGGTCTGGGCCAGGAAGGAAAAAAAGGAGTTAGAAAGGAATTTAATAAGGAATTTCCAGAGTTAAAAAGAAATTTCGTTTTTGGTGTTTTTTTTTTTTTCGCGACGCCGAGAGGTCTGGGCCAGGAAGGAAAAAGGAGTTAGAAAGGAATTTAATAAGGAATTTCAAGAGTTAGGAAGGAATTTAGTTTTTGGTAGTTTTTTTTTATTTTTTTTCACGACGCCGAGAGGTCTGGGGCAGGAAGGAAAAAGGGGTTAGAAAGGAACTTAATAAGGAATTTCAAGAGTTAGAAAGGAATTTCGTTTTTTTGGGGGATGTTTTTTGTTTTGTTTTTTTGCACGACGCCGACAGGTCTGGGCCAGGAAGGAAAAAGGAGTTAACAAGGAATTTAATAAGGAATTTCAAGAGTTAGAAATGAATTTCGTTTTGGTGGTTGGTCTGTTTTGTTTTTTTTTACGACGCCGAGAAGTCTGGGCCAGGAAGGAAAAAAAAGGAGTTAGACAGGAATTTAAAAAGGAATATCAAGAGTTAGAAAGGAATTAGAATAACTCCTTTTTCCTTCCTGGCCCAGACCTCTCGGCGTCGTAAAAAAACAAAACAAAAAAACAACACCAAAAACGAAATTCCTTTCTAACTCTTGAAATGCGTCATTAATTCCTTTCTAACTCCTTTTTTTCCTTCCTGGCCCAACCCCCCCGGCGCCGTAACAAAACAAAGCAACAACACAACCTCAAAAAAAACGAATTTCTTTTCTAACTCTTGAAATTCCTTATTAAATTCCTTTCTAACTCCTTTTTTTTTCCTTCCTGGCCCAGACCTCTCGGAGCCGTTTTGCGCTCAAGCCATTGAGCGTTGCAGGTGCAGGATTCAAAACGGCACTTCGCGCCTGCGAGTCATTCAGCTTCGGAGAGGGCCGTTCCCTCACAGTTCATAATCATTTCGCCGCCATGGGGAAGGGCGGCTATGGCAAGCGCGGCCCTGGAGGTCAGGGAGACAAGGGCGGCAAGGGTGGCAAGAGCTTCCCCTCGGCGGCCGCCCTCGAGCGCGAGATCGCGCTGTTCGACGGTGGCGGCTCGCCTCCTCCTCCTTGGGCTGCACGCATTCCTGGGCTGCAACAAGATGCTCCTCCAGCCCTCTGGACATGCTCGGCTTGCGGCTGCAGGAAGAATGAGATGCGCTGGTCTCGCTGCAAGCATTGTGGCTCTCAGTGGACCCCGTTCCAGCCATGCACGCCCTCCTCCTTCGGCACGCCTGGTGGAGTCTGGTCCGCTGGCTTCTGCGGCAACCTGCCGTACTCCCCATTTGCTGCTGCTCAAGGGCCTCCAGGCACCTTCGCGCCCGGCGACAATGGTGGTGGTAAAGGTGGCAAGTCGCCAGGCGGTCCAGCCAAGCCAGAGACCCTTCTTTCTCGAGAAGAGCATGCGTCTTTGGCGGAGCTGCTGGCCAAGTCTGGCGACGCGCTGGGAGCGGCTAAGCATCGTGAGTTGGCCAAGCCACCACCTGTGGCCAAGGAGCCCACCCTGCAGCACCAGGTCTCCATGGCCCACAGCAAGCTGCGAGGCCTCGAGCGGAAGTTGCAGGGCGCTGTTCAGAGGTACGAGGAGTGGTCGGCGCAGATGGTGGAGCAGCGTGCTTTGGTCACCAAGTTCACTGAGGAGTGCGAGCAGGCCGACGTTGAGCATCGTCGACTTGTGGCCGCACTTCATGCCCAGACGTCAGCGGCCGACATGCAGAAGGTGCCAGAGGACAAGGCCGTGCCATGTTCGCTGTCTTCGATCATGGACGGGTCCTTCACGGACAAGCTGGTCATCGACCCCTCGGAGCTGCTTGGTGGCGTCGAGGATTTCGAGCTCTCGGAGGCCGACAAGGAGGAGCTCGAGAAGAGGGGCAACCAGCTGCGAGAAGGCATCCAAAAGTTGGCACAGCGTCTGTTCGCGCAGGCCTCCGAGACTGCCAAGAAGATCCAGGAGGCACACAAGGAGCATCTCGGACGCCTGGCCAAGAAGAGGAAGACTGACGAAGGTGCAGCTCCTGGCGCTGATGGAGGTGGAGATGCTGAGACAGCCGCAGCCGACTCTGCCACTGGTCCTGCGGCAGCAGCAGCGCAGCCTCCAGAGGTGGATGCTGAAGCTACCGCTTCTGCTGCTCTACGTCAGCGGGCCGCCAAGATCATTCAGCATGGGCAGCCTGAACAAGACCCTCCCCCTGCTGTCGCGTGAGCTTCAGCAGGGGGGCCTTCATCGTGAACACGTTCAACCCAGCGGCACGCTCACTTGCCCAGCCTGGCACATGTTCTCTCCGTTCCCCTCGGCAGGGGACTTTAATGCTCTGGGCCTCGGCCTTGCACCTTGGGGCGGAGACGAGAGTTGCCCAGGCTGGCAAGCAGAGCCCGCACCCGCTGAAGCTGCAGTCGACGCTCGCCCTCGTGGGTACCTTCAGCCTGCTGCTGACGGAGTAGGGCTGTCTTTTTTCTTTCGGCGCCGTGGACCTTGAGGCCTCAGTTCCTCTTGTGCTGCATCCTGGATCCCTGGATTTTTTCTGGGGTTGTCTGGGCATGCCGTCTTGCCGTGGGAACCTCCAGGAAACGTTCGTTAAAACTGGAGGATCCCACGAGCAGTGCCCACCTTTTGCTCGAAGCAGCTTGGAATCTTTGGTCAGGGCGCTCCCCCAGCCTCTGGGGGCACCCGTTTTCGGGCCTGGTGAGCTTTGTGCCACCAGGGCACCATCTGGCTCGGCCTCAGTGTGCAGTTGCAGCTCTTTTGCCTTTCGGCGTTCCCGCTGGACCCCTCCCCACGTGAAGCGACTGTCTGCCTTTAAGAGATCGCACTCGTCGCTCAGTGGTGCGGTCAAGCACACCCTTTGGAGGGCCAAGCGAGTTCTTGCCTCTGGCTTTGCCAGCTTTGCACGAGCTGTTCACAGTGCTGCCTCTTGCGAGGCGCATTTTTTCGGGTTTGCCAACCCGTGTGATGAATATCCAGTGCTCGTTGACCTGCAGCCGAGCAGTCCTGTTGAGTTTTTCAGCGGCCCCTCGGATCCTTCGGTGAGTTTCGTCGCCTCGGGTTCCCCTGAGGCCTCTGGAGGCCACTGCTCGGCCCTTCTGGACAGTCTTGAGATTTGCATCCACACGGTGAATTGCAACCGATGGTCGACCATGAAGGAGCTCATGGCCAAGACTCCTGCGCACATTATCTGGTGCCAGGAGCACAGGATGCGAGAGGAGGAAGATCTCTCACAAGCCTCGGCGTGGTGTGCTCGCCAAGGGTGGAAAGGCATCTTTACTGCGGCCCACGGGACCTCTTCTGGTTCCACGTCTGCTGGCACTTGCATCCTTGTCAGAGACTTTCTCGGCCTTCATGAGCCCCCTGGGGGGGCGGTGGTTGCTGTTGGCAGGGCGACTGCTGGCATAGTGCACCTCCCGCGAGGTGATCGTTTCGCTCTCTGCTCGGTTTATCTCCATCACTCAGAAGGGTTGTCTGAGCGTAATGTCGATCTCCTGGCCATTATTGGGGAACGTATGTCGCCCCTTTCTCTTCCGTTCTGTATTGGAGGGGATTTCAACATGGATCCAGGCACTTTAGCCAGTTCGAAGTTCGCTGAGAAGTTGGTTGGGCTGCCTGTGGTGGCCGAGGGCCACACTCACTTTGGCGAGGGCCCCCCGTCCTCCCTGGACCACTTTGTGTTTTCGGGGGGTCTTGGAAAAACGGTCAAGAGCTGTGAGGTCGTCCAGGACATTACCTTGAGCCCCCACAGGCCGGTGCAAGTTGCGTTGCATGCTTCGTTTGGCAAGTTGAAAGGTCTTAGCTTCAGGAAGCCCCCTCCTCTCCCTGCCACGGCTGTGATAGGACCGCGTCCTGCTCCCCCTGACTGGAGTCTTGTGCGAGAGCTTGCTGACCAGGCCTCCCACTGTGTTGCTGTTGGTGACGCTGGGGGCGCATCGTCGCTTCTCTCGCCTTGCTATGCTGCCTGGGCTGACAAAGCCGAGGCCGAGCTTGTGCCGATTTTGGGACAGTCTGTCCCCTGTCTTGGTTCGAGATCCAAGGGCCCTCAGCTTGTTTGGAAGAAGCTTGTCGGTCGTGATCATGCTATTCGAGATCCTGAACTTCATGCTGTGCGGTGGCTCAGCGTCCAATATCGGGCCCTAGCTTCGCTCCTGGATTCGAACCAAGGCGACACTCCTCAGGCGAAGTCGCTGACGACGCTGCTACAGGAGCCTCCGCAACATTTTGAGGTTTCTGCTGCTCTTCGGCCTCTCTTTGAAGAGGTTGCCCGTGCTGTCGCCAAGCCTTGTCGGGATCTCTTTGGGGGTAGGTGTTACGACGTGGCTCTTCGGGACAAAATTGACGTTGCGGTCAGCAATGCTCAGTCTGCTGCCAAGAAGAGATCCCGTCAAAGTTGGCAAGCTTGGATTCGCGCTGGCCTGGATGAGGGAGCGAAAAGAGTTCACATGTTTACCAGGGACCCGTCCCCTTGGAAGGCCACCACCACCCTTTCTGCTGATGGCACCATTGTGTCTGATCCCCTGGCGCTTTTGGCTTCGGAAGGTTTCAAGTTTGCCGCCTTTGGGGGCCGGGGCTCTGGAGCCTCTAGGGACCCCCCGTCTCTTGGTCCGGCGCTGCCGAGAGTTTCGGCCGACGAAATCAGGGAAGTCTCCAAGAAGTACAAGAGGGGTTCTGCGGTTGCCTACGATGGCTTCAGTTGCCGTCACTTCCAGTACTTGTGTGATGATGCGTTGAACTCGCTCGCCGTCTTGTTTGAAGTTATGGAAGCGCTCGGTGAATTGCCCGAGCAGATTTCTGCCGTGCTGCTCGCGCTTCTCTCGAAGCCCACTGGTGGCTACAGGCCTATAGGGGTGTTCTGCTCCTGGCACAGGGTGCGGGGGAAGCTGCGGCGCCCCTTCGCCCTCGCCTGGGAGCAAGAACACCCCCGTAGGTACTGGGCTGCTGGTGGGCATCGAGGTGCTGCCGACGTCGTTTGGAGGCAGTCTGTTCGGGCTGAGCACGGCACTGCGTCGAATGAGGTTTCGTGCAGTGTGTTCTACGATATGCTTAAGTATTACGAGACCATTGACCTTGCCAATTGATGTCCCAATGTCAGCGACACGGTTTTCCCTCCCCGATTGCTCGCCTTTGCATCTTTGCCTTTCGGCGTGGCCGTTTCCTGTCCCTGGGTGGCATCCTCATGGGCCCCTTCTTTGTCGAACGAGGGGTGGTGGCGGGCTGCAGCTTCGCCACCACCCTCATCAGGGTCTTTGCCCTCGACGCGTTCGACTCGATTCCCTTGTCCCCCAGATGCGACCTGGACATTTACATCGACGATTCGGGGATTTCTGCGACGGGCCCTCGTCACCGTGTTATTGCCTCTATTGTCTCCAGCTCGCAGGCCTTGCACACGGCTGTGACCGACATGCTTGGCTGCAGTTTCGCCCTGTCCAAAGTGTGCACGGTCTCCTCTAATAGGGCGGTGGCCAGAGAGGTTGGCAAGCAGCTTGGCAGTCTGGCAGGCAGGATCGAGGATGTCACTGTCAACTTAGGTGTGGACTACACGGCGGGCAAGTCCATTCGTGCCTCTGGTCGGGCTAGCAAGTTCAAGTCGAGGCTGGCTACTATGTGCCGTCGAGCTAAGAGGCTCAAGAGGCTTTCAGGTGACCTTGGGAGAAAAACTCTGCGGGTGTTTTCCTCGGGCCCTCTTGCGGGCGGCTCCTACGGGGCCGACATTGTGGGTGTTTCCGACCACGACCTGTTATTGATGCGGAGACAAGCCTTCTCGATTGTGCGGCCGTTTTCTCAGGGCAGGAGTCTCACTGCCTGCTGTATTTTAGCTGGAGATCCCACCTGGAGGGCGGCCTGCGCGCCTGTGCTTAGGTGGGGAAAAGAAATATGGCTTGCTCAGACTAAGGTCTTCCCGCACTCCCTGGCCCTCAAGGAGCTTAGAGATTCTTGGAATGCCGTCTGGGGCCTTAGCAGGATCAGTTGGGGTCTTGTCGGGGGCCCTGTCTTTGCCCTTAGGCTTAGCCTGGTCAGGTTAGGGTGGCATATGGACAACTTCATGACCATTATTGATGACAGAGGGTACCACATCCCCCTCGGAGTGACCTCCCCTGCTCTTTTGTGTATTTTTTGTCGGGAAGGTATGATCAGAGCTCTGGAAACGGATTTGGGTTGCAAATGGTCGTCTGGAGGCCGCCTCTGCTTGGATGTCCCCCGAGCTGCTCTGGCGTCTAGCAAGCTTACTCCCAGTGAAAAAGGCATGGTGCGTGCTCTGGCGTGCAACGCCATCTGGACTCCTGATCGTGCCATTGCCTGTGGATATCAAGTTTGTTCTAAGTGCGTCCATTGCGGTGCGGCAGACTCGCTGCACCACCGTCTGCGAGCATGCCCACATGTGAGCGATCAGAGAGCGGAGCTTGCTAAGGACTGGATCATTGCTGCTGCCCTAGACACTGAGGCTGAGGACTACTCGGACCTCCTTTTCTGCTTCGGGGCTTTCGCCCATCCCGCCGATGCCCTTCCGAGGCCCTGCCTCGAAGGCAATGTGGTGTTCCGCTGGCATCGTGATCTGCCCGAGGGCCCCGAAGGCTTCGAGGCTCCCCAGGAAGGTGCTGTCTGGGGTTCGCTGTTTCTCGACGGGTCTTGCAGGCGGCACATAATTCGTCAACTTAGCCGTGCGTCTTGGGCCATCACGATGCACAATGACAGCGGGGACCTTTTAGGGGAGGTTATGGGGCCTGTGTGGGCTCAATACCCTCAGACCCCGCAGGCTGGTGAATATTTAGCGCGTGGCATGGCTGGTAATATGGCCAAGTACCCTTCCACCCTGTTCTCAGGCTGCTTGAATGTGGTCAAGCATTCTAAGTTGCCTCCTGTCGATCGCCTCTCGGGTAAGAGGGTGTACAGTGGCATAATCATGGAAGCCAATGCTCGAGAAGGCACGTGCATTAAGGATATTGTCAAGGTTGCTGCTCACAAAGATTTAGATGAAGCTGGCATCGACCAGTTTGAACGGTTTTGTCGCAAATGCAATAATGATGCAGACGCGGCGGCCAAAGCTGCGCTTTCGTTTCATGCGACGGATGTTAATGAGATTGAAGATCTCAGCAAGAAGATCGACATTGCTAAATCAGTGTGTCGACTGGGGGCCAAGCTTCTTTTAGAGTGGCCCCGTCTAGACTTATCTGATGCCGAATACATTCCGCCTGCCCCCAAGCCCAGGTTTTCCTGGGACAAGCCTGGGCACGACTGGGCCCCTTGGTCTGGTGTGTGGCGCTGTCGTGTTTGTTTGCTGGGTTCCAGGGAGTCTGGTGTCCCTGATCTTGGTGTATGCACGGGCAGGTGCAAGCTTGATGAAGGTGTGCTTGTTTCACTGCGTCATCGTGTTTTGGCTTTCTCCTGCAGTGACGGTTCGCATCTTTTTGTTTGCGTGAAATGCCGCTACCACAGCACAGGTGCTCGTGTGGACGGCCTCGGGAAGTTTTGTAATGATCGGCCCTCCAGGAATGCTGAGTATTCTTGGAGGCACCTCTGTCGAGGAGTACATCCGAACCCCAGGAAGCGGGATGTGACGGTGAATACCCACCAGATCTGTGCTCTGTTTGGTTCTCAGGCCGAGGAGCCTTCCTCGTGCAGCAGGGCCGTGGAGGCCCCAGCTGGGAACCAGTCGGTGGAGGAGGAGGAGGTCCCTGCTTCCTCGGTCGTGCCTCCCCCCCCCCCTCGGAGGAGGAGGTCCGTCAGGCCCGTCAGGCCCGAGAGCTCAGCGTCTCTTCTAAGTCCCTCCGCCTTCTTGAAGCCGCTCGGAGAGGCGGTGAGGGAAGCAGGGACCTGGATGCTGAGTCGGGCTCTTCAGACTAATTTTATCCTGCCACCTTTGTGGCTTTACCTCCTTGCCTCAGTGGCATGGTGGACGCAGCAGCGATTTCCCAGCCGTCGCTGCTGACAGGAGAGGCTGTGCGGGCGCTGAGCTCAAAAAATCCTCCTTGTCCTTCTCCTCCTCCCCCTCCTCCTCCCTTATTATCCTTCTCCTTCCTCCTCCTTCCTCCCTCCCTCCTCCTCCTCCTCCTCTTCCTCCTCCTTCTCCGCCTCCTCCTCCTTTCTTCCTCCTACCCTCCTCCTCCTCCTCCTCCTCCTCCCCCCTCTCCTCCTCCTCGTTCCCCTCTTCCTCCTTCCCTTTCTCTCCCTCCTCATCCCTATCCTCGCCTCTCCTCCTCCTTTCTCATCCTCCCTCCTCCTCCTCATCTCCTCCTCCTCCTCTGTCCTCCTTTGCCTCCTCCTCTCATCTCCTCCTTTTCTTCCTTCTCCTCCTCCTCCTCTCCCCCTCTCCTCCTTTCCTCCTTTTCCCCTTCCTCCTCCTCTTCCTCCTCCTCCTCCTCCTCTTCCCCTCCTCCTCCTCCCCTTCTCTCCCCTCCTCCTTCCTCCTCTCCTCCTTTTCTTCACCTCATCTTTTCTATTCCTCCTCCTTTCTCCCCTCTCCTCCTTCCTCTCTTTCCTCCTCCCCCTCTTTCCTCTGCTCCTCCTTTCCTCTTCCTCTCCTCCCCTCTTCTCCTTCCCTCCTCCCCCTTCTCCTCCTTCTTCTCATTCCTCCTTCATCCCTCCTTTCCTCCCTCCCTCCTCCTCCTCCTTCTCCTCTCTTCCCCTCCTCTTCTCATCTCCTCTTCCTCCTCCTCCTCCCCCTCCTCCTCCTCGCGTCCTCCTCTCCTCCTCCTTCTCCCCTCCTTCTTCTCCTCCTCCTTCGCCTCCTCCTCCTCCTCCTCCTCCTCCTCCTCCTCCTCCTCCTCCTCCTCCTCCGTTCCTCGAGGCGGCCCGAGGAGGAGCACGGCGCCGCCCCCACCGCGCCAGGCGGCGGCCCCCGCACCCGACCTCGGGGCGGCGCTCGCCGGCCTGCTGCGGCGCGGCCTGCCCCAGGGCGACGACGCCCCCGGCCAGCCACGGCCCGCGCCCCGGGGGTCGGCCTCCCCCCCCCCACCGGCAAGAAGTCACCGCCGCCGCCGCCGTCGGCGTCGTCGTCGGCGTCGTCGTCGTCGTCGTCGGCGTCGTCGTCGGCGTCGTCGTCGTCGCCGTCGTCGTCGCCGTCGTCGTCGTCGTCGCCGACGACGAAGACGATCAGATGGCCCCGCCGCCCCGCCAAGGCATCCGAGGACCCAGAGCTGAACAGACCTAATGATGTTCCAACCTATTCCAGCCGTGATCACAAGAAAGAACTTCGAGCACCAGAAGGAATACCTAAACTCGAGGGTTTTCACGTGTCGGGCCCTGGGAGACACTCGCCCGACATTGTCTCGACACTCTTTCGATAATCTTTCGACACTTTTCCGGGTGTTCGAAATTATGTCTGGGATGTGGCCGGTCAGTACGATGGGAGCAACATGACCCAGACCCCCTCGGGTCATGAGAGGACGTCACGGCGCAGGGCTTCTCGCCGCATAGTCTCGGCCTCCGGGGCCCTCACCGGGCCTCGGGGCCGTCACGAACCCACTCGGGATGAGGGGGAACGGCGCGCCCGGGCCCCGGTCCGCCGACGAGGGGGAGGAGGAGGAGAAGGAGGAGGAGAGGAGGAGGAGGAGGAGGAGGAGGAGGAGGAGGAGGAGGAGCAGGAGGAGGAGGAGGAGAAGGAGGAGGGGAGGAGGAGGAGGAGGGGAGGAGGAGGAAGAGGAGGAGGACTCTGGGGATCGACGTTTTGGTAACACTGTCACGACGTCGGGGGTCCTGGCCGCGCGCTCCTATGGGCGGGACTCGGGCCCGCGGGCGCCTGTATGATTCTCCTGAATCATCTTTTGACGGTCCAGAGCCCCGGCGAGGGCCCTCAGAGGCCGAAGACGGGTCAAAACCCGCCGCTCCAGCTTCGTTTAAAGCTATGTCCACGCTGTGAAGAGAACGCGGCGCCCGAGTTCTCGGACCTTCGTGGGGCGTCCACGTCGGCAGCTCGCAAGGCTTCTGGGTGTTATTCATACGGTTCGTCTCCACGGGGTGCTCTCCAGCTGATGTGCCCATTTCACACCACCACTACCATATGTAGGAGGGGGAGGAGGAGGAGGGGGAGGAGAAGGAGGAGGAGGAGGAGGAGGAGGAGGGGTCGTCGCCAGGAGTCAGTCATATGGTTCGTCGCCATGGGGTGCCTTCCAGCAGCTGCGCCTCGTCGAGGCCTCTCTCGGGGGTGCCCAGGTCCTCCCGGGCGGCTGCCGTCGGGGAGGCGCGAGTTGTGACCCGAAGCCCACCGCAGGGGCGGGAGATCATCGCCGAGGCCAGCGATCACCCAGGTTTCGTTGCCCTCTGCTCCTGTTCAGCACGTTTCCGGTGCCCCCGGAGGGAGAGGGGGTTATGGGGCTGGAAGTGTGGATGCGCAGGAGGAGGTGGAGGAGGAGGAGGAGGAGAAGGAGAAGGAGGAGGAGGAGGAGGAGGAGGAGGAGGAAGAGGAAGGACAACGCATCCTACGCTGTCCTCCCTCCCCCCTCCCTCTCTCTTCCTCCGCCCCCTGGAAGTCGTGGAGGTCGTCGTCGAGGAGGAGGAGGACGAGGAGGAGGAGGAGGAGGAGGAGGAGGAGAAGGAGAAGGATGAGGGAACGGAAGAGGAGGAGGAGGATAATGAAGTTGAGGGATATAAGTCGGGCCTGCACGCGGCGCAGCCCATCCCCCCGAGAGCTGACGCCAATGTAGTGGCGGTCACGGAGCCGCGCGGAGACGGAGTGAAAGGATGAGGATAAGAAAGAGAAGAAGTGGAGGAGGAAGGGGAGAAGGAGGAGGCGGAGGAGGAGGAGAAGGACACTGTGGATATGGCAGAGGTGGAGAAGGAGGAGAGGGAGGAAGTGGAGGAGGAAGCGGAGGAGGAGGAGAGGAGAAGGAGGAGGAGGAGGAGGCGGAGGAAACGGAGGAGAAGAAGAAGAAGAAGAAGGAGGAGGACAAGGAGGAGGAGGAGAAGGAGATGGAGGAAGAGGAGGAGATGGAGGAAGCGGAGGAGGAGGCGACGGAGGAGGATGAGATGGAGGAGAGGAGGAGGAGGAGCAGGAGGAGGAGGAGCATGAGAAGGAGGAGGAGGAGGAACAGGAGGAGGAGGAGGAGCCGACGGAGGAGGGGGAGGAGCCGAAAGAGGAGGAGGAGGAGGAGGTGGTGGTGGAGCCGAAGGAGGACGAGGAGGTGGAGGAGATGGAGCAGTACGCCTGCCTTAGGGCCTTAGGGGCGCCCTCCGCTGTCACGGGTCAACGCCCCAAGCCGAGGCTGAGCCCCGTGTTGCGGGACCTGCGCTCCGGCGACGTTGGGGTGAGGCTCACCGCCCTGACCGAACTGTCTGAGCAGCTGAGTTTCAGCTCCGAGGAGCCAGGCTGCCTCTCCAGGCGGGAGGGAGGAGGAGGGGGGAAGTGGAGGAGAGGAGTAAAAAGGATGAGAGGAGGATGAGGAGGACAAAGGATGACGACGAGGACAATGACGACAAGGAGGACGAGGAGGATGAGAAGGACACGGATGGCGAGGAGGGCGAGGATGGCGAGGAGGGGGAGGAGGAGAAAGAGAAGGATGAGGAAGAGGAGGAGGAGGAAAAGACGGAGGAGAAGGTGGAGAAGGATGATGACGAGGAGGAGGATGAGGACAAGGAGGACGAGGAGGGCGAGGAGGGCGAGGAGGGGGAGGAGGAGAAAGAGCAAGGAGGAGGAGGAGGAGGAGCAGGAAAGAGGAGAGGAGGAGGACGAGGACAAGGAGGACGAGGAGGACGAGGAGGAGGGAGCAGGAGGAGCAGGGGAGAAGGAGGAGCAGGAGGAGGAGAGGAAGGAGGAGGAGGAGGGAGGAGGAGGAGGAGGAGAAGAGAGAATTGAGGAAGGAGTGTCGCAGAGGGGGTGCATCAGGAGGGATGGGGGAGAGGGGGAGGAAC